AAGGACACCCTTTGGTCTCTGACCACAGATTCCTCATAAAAAAGGATGATATTTACTGGCACATTTCTAGCTTCCCATGTAGTCACTGATAATCCAGTCTGTCATCCTATTGGATGAAAATGTCTCCCTAGCTGAGGCACTCAGGCGTGCAGGCTTCCAGTTGAGCTTGTCACGTTCCATAGGTAACAGTGATCTTGGCAATATGTCTTCACCCTTCCAGGCCTCTGGTATAATTGAGCTAAGAGACAATATCATCTCTTGTTCTGAGCCTTTTTCAAGATGTCAGCACGATACTGGATTTCCCCTGTTACATAACTCATTTACTCATTCCTTTGCCCTCAGCTGCTATTTCTCCTTTCCATTTATCCCCTAACTTTGTTCATTCACCGTTAGGGGATATGGAACCTAATTAGCTTCCACCTCTGTGCTCGTCTAGGTTGCAGACAGCAATACCAGTCTAACGAACGCCTCCTCTTCAGTCCACTCCCTTCGGGTAGGGTAGGATTCCATAGGTAGAGAACTAGTGGGCTATTTCTGACACTAGGCCATAGAGCTGCATTCACTGGTAACCCCGGTTTTGCCAGATAGGATGAAGGCCTAACCTGCCCCATCAGGCCCTTAGGAATTCTGACATAAAGGTTTAGAATAGTTCCAGTTTCTTGCTTAGAAATCATTCCTGCTTCCAGCACTGGTAGTTGCAGCCCTGATCCTGGGACCACTGCATCAGATAGGAAAAAGAAAGGTGAGATGATGTAGGGAAGGAAAAAAAAAAAGTGGTCATACCAGAATCTTTTCCTTGGGAAGAATGGTGGTCATACCAGCACCCTTTCCCAACCCCTCTGCCCCAGGTTCACCAGGAAAACAGGACTCTCTCCAGTGGGGACACTCCCTTAGGCCCCCCTTATTTTATGTGAGCACACACTTGTGAAGGCATGGAAGCCAGCCCTTCCTGCCTCTATCTCCCCCAATTTTAGACAGTAAATATTTCAACTGCCTGTTCCAATTCTCTATTAAGCCATTTCTCTGAGGGTAATATGCAACACAAAGCACCCGTTTGTTGAGATATCTCTTCCCACTGGAGGACATGGTGGGCTGCAAAGTGTGTCCCTTGGTCTGGAATAGGTGCACTGTCTTCTGATTCTTTTGTAGCATTCTGAGCATACTTGCATCTACCATTGGGTAAGCAAATCCCAGTCCGGAGTCAGTGTTGATTTCTCTCAGGACCCAGTTGTAGCCTCCTGGGCCTACTGGCATTAGCTTGATTTGTGAGCTAAGTGCAGGGCCCCTACCCCACCCAAAACAGCCCTTAGTGGCATTTTGTTTCTCAGAGGGTGCAACAGGAATATGTCTAGATTGAGTCTATCTCTGCATTGTTGCAGCCTGTCCCCGCCATGTCCACTCATTTCATGGGCCTAGGTGGCCACCTAGGTGAGCACATGAGGGTATCTGCTGTTGATTCCATTTATCTTCTGATGCTGGAAGGGTTTTCTTTTGATGGGCATGGATACATCCTACTTTAATGCACTCTTCAAATTCGCATGGTGGTTCCCAGCTGGGCTAAGTCCCACAAGACTGCCCTTACTTCAGATGCCAGTTACAAGTATCAGGTTCCCAGGTTAACCATACTTCTGTCTGACTTGGCTACAAAGTCAAGGGGTTCCCACAACCTCCTCCCTTATTTTATGTTCATTAATTTGCTAGAATGGCTCACAAAACTCTAGAAAACACTTTACTTTCTATTACTGGTTTATCATAAAAAGGACAAATGAATAGGCTGATGAAGAGGTACACAGGGTGAAGTTCGGAAGGATCCTGAGCACAGAAGCTTCCGGTCTCATGGAATTGTGGTATGCCACCTTCCTGGCATGTGGATGTATTCACCAACTCAGAAGCTCTCTGAATACTATTGGTCAGGGGGTTTTATGGCAGTTCCATTACATAGGCATGATTGATTGATTAACCATTGAAACTGACTCAATCTCTAGGATCTCTTTCTTTCCAGAGGTTGGGGATAGAGCTGAAAGTTCTAAGCTCCTAATCAAGTCTTAGTCTTTCGGAAGACCCGCCCCCATCCTGAAGCTATCTAGGGGCCCACTAACAATTGTCTCACTATGGCCGGGCACGGTGGCTCACGCCTGTAATCCCAGCACTTTGGGCGGCCGAGGCGGGTGGATCACAAGGTCAGGAGATTGAGACCATCCTGGCTAACACGGTGAAACCCTGTCTCTACTAAAAATACAAAAAATTAGCCGGGCGTGGTAGCGGGAGCCTGTAGCCCCAGCTACTTGGGAGGCTGAGGCAGGAGAATGGCCTGAACCCAGGAGGTGGAGCTTGCAGTGAGCGGAGATCATGCCACTTCACTCTAGCCTGGGCTGACAGAGCGAGACTCTGTCTCAAAAAAAAAAAAGATTGTTTCACTAAAACAAAAGAGGCTCCTATCACCCTTGATATGAAATTCCAAATTTTTCTGTGATACCACATGGTCATTGATTGTTTTGCTATTTGTTAACGTCTTTCATAATAACTTCTGAGCTCGGTATATATTAGGGTATTAGCTCCTTGTCATATATTAAAAATATTTTTACTTTAGTTGTCCATTAACTTTTTCATGACACTTGCTGTACAAAGGCAGATTGTTTTCATCTTTAAGTGAAGAAAACTATTACTGGTTTATTATAAAAAGTAATATTAATTTGTATTTAAATCTTTGATCTAGCTAGAATTTTTTTTTTTTTTTTTTTTTTTTTTAAGACTGAGTCTCGCTCTGTCACCCAGGCTGGAGTGCAATGGCTCAATCTCGGCTCACTGCAACCTCCGTCTCCCGGGTTCAAGCGATTCTCCTGCCTCAGCCTCCTGAGTAGCTGGGGTTACAGGCACATACCACCACGTCTGACTAATTTTTATATTTTTAGTAGAGACGGGGTTTCACCATGTTGGTCAGGCTGGTCTCAAACTCCTGACCTTGTGATCCACCCGCCTTGGCCTTGCAAAGTGTTGGGATTATAGGCATGAGTCACCGCACCTGGCAGAATTGTTTAATAAGATATACAGGCCAAGCACACGGGCTCATGCCCGTAATCCCAGCACTTTGGGAGTCCGAGGTGGGCTGATCACTTGAGCCCAGGAGTTCAGGATGAGCCTGTGCAACATGGCAAAATCTCATCTCTAAAAAAAATACAAAAATTAGCTGGGCATGGTGGTGCACGCCTGTAGTCCCAGCTACTCTGGAGGCTGAGGTGGGAGGATCACCTGCACCCAGGAGGCACAGGGTTCAGTAAGCCAAGATCATGCCACTGCACTCCAGCATGGGCAACAGAGCGAGACCCAGTCTCAAATAAATAAAAACAATAAAATATCCCATGGTACTCCTTAATACATTTTAATTTTCATTTATTGAATTACTTGTTGAATTATTTATTTTCCCATGCTGATTTGGAAGGGTACCATGATCATTTCTCTAAAACTTTGGTTTATTTCTGCAGTATTTCATTCTATTGATCTATTCTGGTGCCAGTAAAATACTCTTTTATATTGTTGCGCTGCAAAGCTTTTAGTATATACTAAGGCTAATCCTTCTGGGTTCCCCTGAATTGTTCTCGTGTTGTGATTTTTTATTGGACTTGCACTGGAGTCAGTGATATACAGAGAACTAGCCTCTTCATGAGTCTTCCTATTCAAGAATGTGATAAGTTTATTAATTCATCTAAGTTTTGCCTCAGAAGGAGTTTTGCTGTGTTTATACAAGTTTCATTTATTCTTTTTGTTAGATGTTTGTTTTCTTTAGCTGAGTTTTTTTTCCCCCATTATGTTTCTTAACTAGTAAATCTGGCAAGTTTTTCCCATTTATTTTCATTAAAGAAAATAAGAGGTAAAATCACATAAAATAGCCATATTTGGTTCTGGTATTGTAATCTTATTGCATATTTGTGTGTGCACGTTGCTGTTTCTAATATTTATCTTTAGTTTTGTGGGGAATTATTCTGTTTCTTTCTTTTTAAAAATTTTCTTCCCCAGCTCTGCTAACAGTATATTTGGAGACAGATACGTCTACTAGGTTACTGTTTTATCTCTCAATTATATAATAAACCTCTACTTTTTCTGTTTATCAACCAAAGAAAAGAAACTGGTTCTATTTGCTCAGCTCACAAAAGAGAAAACGAATTAGTGTATCTGTTCTCCTGCCATTCTACCTGATTTACTTCCATTTTCATTGGCCTATTTTGCCTATTATCATCATTTTTAACATTATGTAGCCTTTCTTTCAATAATTGTAATTGCTTTGTTGCTACAGTCACCATAGAGAATTAAGTGTATGTTTAATGAGATTTGCTTGCCATATCCTTTCACCCCAGAGTGGCTTACAGTATTCTCATTTTTTTGATGTCAAACTAGTTGGGATCTCTGGTAGTTCAATGACCGCTTGTATAGTCGTGGGGGTAGTCAATGTGTTACTGGGAGAAGTTGTTATATTTTTCTGTTACTTACCAAGGATACATAAAGCATCTACCCACATACGAGGGGTTCACCGTGTATGTGCTATGGCAGTTATTGGCTGAAAGTCTGGACAGGACAGCCACCTTTAAACCTAGAGACAAGTTGAGCTGTTATAAAACTGAAAGGCAAAAGTAAGAATTTGGATTTTCTACAGCAGCTTGGTTGGTGCCTGCCTTTTCCACATCAACAGTTTGGTACCTGAGTAAATGACAGTGGAGGAGGAGTAAGGAGGGGCTTGGAACTTAACAAGGCTTATTGCTGCATTTGTGAGAAAGACCTATTTCTATGTATTCTTCACTCCACTTGCCTAGTGATCACCCCTTTCAGGTTTCTTCTAACAGCGACAACCTTGGGAATTTCAAACTAAATCTTCAGTACGATAAGGTTATACATCACTAAAAAGTGGGTAGCAGTAAATGGGCTTTAGAAAACAAAGCATGCAGGTTTTCCCAGGCACTTTGAACTAATGCAAACATATACAGTACAGAAAAGAGAAGATGTAACTGTTTTCTCTGAAAAAAAGGTTTATTGCATATGGAAATCAATAGATATCTTTTACAAAAAAAGGTTAGAACAAAGATCTCACATTTGTAAAGGCACATATGAAACATTTTATAGCAAGCACAAGGGCAGTGAGAACATCAACAAGGTTCAATATCTAAATAAGACTTTATAAAAACAGATAGGAAACAGTGCAAAAAATACTGTCAAAGTCAGTTCTATACACCTCATAACTGTGTATACAACTGGCAAGCATAAGCTTATTTACTGATATAAAATAGCACATAGAATAGCATGCATAGTTTTATTTTAGGCTTTTCATATTATTAAATTGATAGGAAGTCTATACCAAAGTACAGTTGACATGAATATTGATAAAAACACTCCCCAGCTTAGGGAATGTCCTATAAACATCTCAGCCCTCTCTCTGCTTACAACTACACTTTGGTAGTAAGGACACTGGGCTTCCATCTTGCAAGGTGGCAAGCGGCCACCACAGGGGGAGAATGTGCTCTCAGGATCCCAAGTCCCAACCTGGAATGCATTTCTTACGGCAACAACAGAAAAGATGGTGATTAAATGTCTGGGTCAGCCCACAAAAGCCAACCACATCTGACTAACACAGCCCTCCATGTAGGCTGTGGTGGAGGTCAGTGGGCTCCTATGGGCTGGCCCAAGAACCGTAAGAACAAACTGGTTTCTAAGTTGGGGACTTGCCTATACATTGTTTCAAAATGAAACCTAATAAATGTCATATGTTTTGAATGACATTGTTTGATACCAAAATTCACAATATTTTGTGAAACAAAGAGCAAGGAAAGCATCAAAATACTGAAGTAGGGAGCACAAGCCTAGTCCAGTGAAACAAACTAGATTAGCTTGTTATTTGATGTAACACAAGTTACATAAGGTTACGCGTTTATTAGTAATCTGCATATTTAGACCTTTTTCCCACTGAAGTATCCTCAAGCACATTAATTAGCTATTGAAGGAACAAAGGACATACATAGGAACTCATCTCTGATGAAGTGTAACTTTTTGTCAGAAAGGAGAAGGCTAATGAATTTTTAAGATTCCAAACAGTGGCAAGAAAGTTCAAAGGAAATTGCAGTAAAATTGTACAATGTTCAAGTTGAAAAAAAAAAAAATGGCTCTGAATTACACCATTCAGTTCTATGCTCAAGGTATATATTAGCTAACACTGCAGTTGTGAGAGGTGGGAGGCCCCTGAGAAATGCTGAGAACGCCAGGCACTCCAGCTCTGAGAGTCACCCTAGCTAAACTCAAAGCAGCATTCTTGAGATTTTAGCAAAAGGCTCCGCCCCAAGCCACAAAAAGATCCCAATCCAATCTTTTCAGCTTTATCCTCTAAAACCTTTTGTCAGATGAGATGGCATTTGTGTTTCCCACGAGGAGAAGGTTGGGGAAGAAAATGAAGATAGCTTACATACAGATTTTGGATGACCAGCTAATCTGACCCCTTCCTAGATAAGTGAAAACAGATAAAATGTTTCTGGGCGGGTTTACCACCTGTTTCACTACAATGGCCGGTCTGTGTGAAGAGGCTATAATGAAGAAAACATTCTCCTTGCAGGGAGAAGCGAGAAACAAATGGGTCTTCCTACACATCACTCTGCCAAATGTAGCCTCTCTCAATCTATATAAGTTCACCTTGAAATAAATATTAAGTACTGCTGTCATCATTGTTTTAAACAGAGCTTCTTTCATTTCTTCTAACAGTAAGTGACTGATTCTATCAGCAAGGGAGCAAAAGGGTGAGAAAGGAAGCTTCCTGCTTGCTGAATTTTCTAGCTATTTTCATTCAGGTTATTTTCATCTGCCAGATCTTTTTTTTTTTTTTTTGACAAATTCTCACTCTGTTGCCCAGGCTGGAGTGCAGTGGCATGATCTCAGCTCACTGCAACCTCCACCTCCGGGTTCAAGCGATTCTCCTGGCTCAGCCTCCTGAGTAGCTGAGACTACAGGCATGTGCCACCATGCCTGGCTAGTTTTTTTTTAATTTTTTAATTTTTAGTAGAGACAGGGTTTCACCATGTTGGCTAGGCTGGTCTTGAACTTCTGACCTCCTGACCTCAGGTGATCTGCCTGCCTCAGCCTCCCAAAGTGCTGGTTTGATTACAGGTGTGAGCCACCACATCTGGTCATTTGCCAGATCTTATTCTTTGAAACTATACAAGCAATTTTTTAAAAATTACAGTAAGATTCCCTAATTACATATTTTAGAGAGGTTTAAGGCAATGATTCTCTGATGAGGTTTAACTCTTTCATCTGGGTTGCACTCATAAGGTAGGTAAAGGAAAGAAAAAGTGTACTGTTGAGAGTTGATCCATAAAGCAGATGGGGAAATATGAAAAGGTAGCAGAGACTGGGTGCGGTGGCTCACACCTGTAATCCCAGCACTTTGGGAGGCCGAGGGGGGTCTTCTCGAGGTCTGGAGTTTGAGAGCAGCCTGGCCAACATGGCGAAACCTTGTCTCTACTAAAAATACGAATATTAGCCGGGTGTGGTGGCGCACACCTGTAATCCCAGCTACTTAGGAGGCTGTACTCCAGCCTGCGCAACAGGAGCGAGACTCTATCTCAAAAAGAAAAGGCAGCAGACCCTAAGTGAACAAGGTGCTCATGGAATGAAGAGGGTGACAGCACACAACAATCCCACCTGTTCCCCTGAACAAGACAAGGAACACGAAAGTCACTGCATGTACATCCCAGTTTTGTGGCCTGAATATAAACATGACCTGCTCTAAAGGAGAGTGTGCTCTGCAGCACCTCTGAGATCACAGGGGAGAAGAATCAAGAAATGCAGGAGCCACATGGGTAAGCAGAATGCTCTGCTAACAAGCAAGGCAAGAAAGGCTGCCAGTGGCAGGTGAGGGAAGATGGTGCTTTTGAGCAGCAAATCCAGGCAAATATGATAAATCACGCATCACAATCCATGACATTCATCAAGCTCTACTTCAACAGTGAAGACAGTTTAAAAGCATGAGCTAGGGTGAAATAGACTCCAACACTGCCGCAGGGTTTTCCTAGCATGTCACTTGGTGGTTCCCATCATGCTGACATTACAGAAAGGGAGGTAGGGGGTAGCAGAGGCATTACAGAGTTCAGAAAATTATTTGTGAAACAGAGAACTTTTAGATAGCAACTTCAGGAGTGATCCAAAAATCCTTCCTCTCCTGCTCCTCATTTATAGAAATTCTTGGGCAAGTTTATGGCATTTTTGGGAAATAATGATCCTGATGGCCCAAAGTGTGGCAGAAGGAGAAATGACTTTCTATACAAATGCTGGTCACACTCAGGCTGCCCAGTAGCTCCAGCCCTTCTGCCTTGTAACTCAATGTCCTTGAATTTATTTTTAAAATGGGAAGGCTAAACAAAGCTCCAAACAGTAGGAACTGATACACATCCTCCTCTTTACTGCACCAATCAATCATTTTCCAGTCTATGAAATTGATGGATGCCAGATACTCAATGCTAGGCTCATGGACATTTTAATAGGGAATATCTCAGTTTGGCCTTGAGAAAGAAGATGCAGCTACATTAAGCTGGAAAGATTAAGAAAGGTAGTCTGCTGAATAAAAATACTTACCTATCTGAGTTTCTAACAGAAACACAAAAGCTGAGAGCAGGTAGGATAAAGGCTGAGTGTTGATGGGGCAAGCTGGTGGTCAAGTTTCACAGGGCCCCCTGAATAACACTGACTTCTGGACGACACATTTGAGATAGCAGAATTTGACGAGATTTCCCCCATGTTTCTCCCTGACATGTTGCTGTTACTTTCAACAGATGCCATCTGTAAGGTCCTTTGCCCCAAAATGTCTTAGAAGCTTAAGTAAAGACAAGAACTATTTTGCTTCCTTGCTCAGCATTCAAGAAAAGTATCAAATGCAGTTTAATATCTTACAGCTTTATTGCCACCCTATAGGGCCAACTAGTTTGCCAACCATAAAGCTGTAGGCCATTGGAAAATTTGTGCGATTTCTATGAAAGACCTGAATTTCTCCATTTGGAAACCATGCTGGATAAGCTGTTGCTCTGCTCATGAAAAGAAATCACTAAATAAGAGCATGATGAGTGTCTCAAAACCCATTGGCAAAACAATAAAACACAGCAGCAGAATAATTGTTGGTAAAACATGGAAACGCTAAATTCCCAAAAATGGCTACCCTAAGAGCCCAACAGTAATTATGTAGTGCTTCCAGAAATTTCTTATTCTAGGAGCTCCATAGAGTTATTTCTGATACTGAGGAAGAACACAGGTCTGACCCAATCCCATCCCTTGAATACGTGCTCCCTGGCACACATCCTAGAATGCCCTGTACCCTCTACCCCTCAACGCCCTTACCTCAAGGGATTGACAGATCTTCCCCAAATGAAAAATCAGTAATGAAACAGTTGTCCTTTACCAAAGGGGGCAATCAAGGACCCTCTGCGAATACCAGAATATCATGGATGCTCAAGTCTTTTATATAAAATGACGTAGTATTTGCATATAACCTATGCACATCTCTTGTATACTTTAAATCATCTCTAGATTACTTACAATACCTAAGTCGATGCCTACACATCACTTCATTTGCATGAATTCAATGTAGTATTCAGCATGTGGCAAATTCAACTTTTGCTTTTTGGAACTTTGTGGGTTTCCCCTCTTCCCCAAATATTTTTCAATCTGTACTTGGTTGAATATAGGGATGTGGAACCCACAGATAGGGGTGGTCAACTGTACTCATCTTCACCATCAAATGTACCATTAGATGGGGAAAGAGAGACTAGAAAGCACATTCTGCTTTTTGACAAAGGACACTTTTGGGACCCATACGTCATGTAACAAGTAGGCTGAGGTCAGTTAATACAGACTGCTCATAGGGAAAGGACAGCAGCTAAAAACTGCAAGGTGATGTGCCTGATGGCCAATCCAGCTTAAGAGAAACTGCAGTGCACTATCTACCTCTGCGACTTCCATGTCCCAGGAGATGGCCCATTCACCAAGTGATGCAAGGATCCCTATGAGCAGGGCAGCAAGTTCACGAAAAGAGCCGGCCCACCCAGGGTACACCTTTTGTGTTCATTAGCACTGCTCTGGAGAAATGACATCTGGTGTTGGGATCTACACTGTATCGGGGGAAGATATAGGTGATCCATGCGAACACTGTCTGTTCGCAGAAAATATGGTCCATTATTGGAAATTTCATATGGGTCAATCTATATTAAGCTGGAAAAGTAATCAGCCAGATGAAAAGGCCAGCCTGCTGTACCCACTGGAGTTTACAACTGAAAAGCACAAGCTGAAAGAAGGCAGGATAAAGGTTAAGTAGGTGTAAGCCGTGGTCAAGTCCTACAAGGCCCACAGCAGTCTACATAGACCCTCTCTTCAGGCTGATGAAAGAGGGGGCCAGAGATAGCCAAGTGACTCTTGGGAAAACAATGGCAGTTTCGTTATAGTTTTAAAACGTGGTTCCTCTCTTTAATCTACAAAATTAAAAGTAAAATTCTCTCAATTTAAGCTCTTCAAAAGCTTATGATTCAAAATATTCCATATAGGTGTTTTTACCTTCCCTGATCTTATTGGTTAGCTCCGACTGAATAGAGCGGCTCATTCATCTTTACTCCTGTGTAATCAATGTTTAACATCCTTTTTTCATGCAGCTAAATCCTCCTCTACTTCGTATCTGGGGAAAGAAGTGCATACTAATGTCTATGCTATCTGTCAATGCTACCAGAGACTCTTGCTAAAAGGTGATATATCCAGTATATCCTTAGAACCCAAGGAAACCAAAGAAACCTCAGCAGGACATTCCTCAACTGAGCCAGCAGGCTCATCTCATCTTAAGGATGAAGACATCAGATTCAGCCCCCATGATTCAGGGACCACAATAAACAAGGATGAATACCTCGGGTCAATGTATCCAAATGAGTACAGATGAAAGAAACCAAACAGTTCCATTGGAAAACCTCGAACACAGCGGCTGGAAAATGTTTGATGGCTTTGTTGTGAGATGGTAACTTTTTTTTCCTCCATTTTTAATTTTCTCCCTTCAAATCCAAACTGCAGCAATAGACACTGACAGCTCTAGCTTTAGACTTGATACATCATCAGGAAATCATTCCAAAAGCTCTAACTAGATAACTAATTTAATACACTTTGCTTCAAGGTTTATTCCTTGGCTTGCTTCCCAGATATAAAGCATCTCTGGGCAATTATTATGCAGATGCCACTGAAAGGACTTTAAATGGCTGCTGCTAATTTAATAGGAGATATGCTGGCATTTACTGGAGATGTGAAAAGGAAGGCAAAATGTGCTAAAGAACCAAAGGCATTTGTTTTTAAAAGTGAAATATGTGGAACAACTCTTAAATGTTTTCTTTTGGGTTTCAATATAAACTTTGGCTAGAAAGTTGAATATTAAACCTACGTCCTCCCTGCATTTTGTACACTAACGAATATTCCCGTAGCATACGGCAGGGACAGTGGATGAATTTCAAGAAAGCCCATGAGCTCTGATGTCCTCAAAGACACACCAGATCTATATGCTGTCCACATGAGACATTCTAACAGTGCCCACCTTGGGGCTTAGAGATAAAAGATAAATACTGATGTTGTTCATCATGCAATAAACCAGTAACTGAGACCACTTGCTAAAACATCCCTAACAGTAGAAATCCCAAGGATGGAAAAACCTCCAAGAAAAGGACACAAATACCTTTTTGCTATTGATGAGCTTCTTATAATAAGGGTTATAAGCTCTGTTCCACTGAAAATACATGTAATACTAATGGTTTTCTTCCCAGGATATACGATGAAACTCTAGAATCTACAAAGATCAGCAGGTTATACTCCTTCACTGAGTCTTCAGACCTTGAAGCAGCAGACAGAGGGGAAGCCCTCCATCCCCAGATATTCTGAGTCTAACTACAGAGTACAGCCACCACAACACCTGGCCAGGTGGAAAAGAGGATTCGTATTCCAAAGAACTTAATGGGGAATATGCAACCTGTTGGCATGCGGTGATGGGATGTCACAAAGGTCTACTTTTTCTGGTTGATTTGATGCCACTCCTTCATCTTTTTGGCTCGGGGGGACAAAAGCAGCAATGAAGAAAGGCATATGGAACTCTCACAGCAGTCAACTCTAAGAAAAAAACCCCTGCAATTAAATTTTCCTTTCTACTACATGTAGTTTTCCTTGACAACCTTTTTTCCTTTTTTTTGGAGGCAGGGTCTCTCTGTAGCCCAGGCTGGACTGCAGTGGCAAGATCATGGCTCACTGCAGTCTCAAATTCTTTGAATGAGGTGATCCCCCCGCCTCAGCCTCCTGAGCAGCTGGGACTACAAGGGCAAACCACCATGCCTGGCTAATTTTTGTACTTTTTGTAGAGACGGGGTTTCATCATGTTGCTCAGGCTGGTCTTGAACTCCTTAGCTCAAGCAATCTGCCCGCCTTGGCCTTTCAAAGTGCTGGGATTTACAGGTGTGAACCACCGTGCCTAGTTGACTACAGTTTTTAAATTGCAGGTTTGTTCTTTGAACTGATCACTGTGGGCGTTCCATATGCCTTCCTCCACTGCTGCCTTTTCCCCGAGCTGGAAAGACAAGGAAGATGTGGCATCAAATCAACCAGGAAGAGCACGCCCTCTGACTTCCTATCACCACGTAACAACATATCAAAGTTGTACTCAAGAAAAAGGTGCATATCAAAGTTGCACTCAAGAAAAAGTAGACATAGAATGACAAATCCCCCAAAATGCAGTAAGAGGAAAAATGTACAAAACATGATTTATTGTGTACCAACCTTGGAAATTCAGAAGGACACTGACCAATGAAGCCACAGGAAGAAACTAAGAACTGGGCTTCCAAGTGAAGATAACTGACCAGACAGTGGATTTTATGAAGAAAAGGAAAGCAGCACAGGGTTTTGCCAATGACAATTCTACCATCGTTCATCAAGTGGCCCCAAGTTTGGACTATGGGGTCCTGAGTAGGATTAATTCTGATCTTGCAGGCCAAAGCCTGAAGATGATACCAGCACAGTGGGGGTCAAATTTGATGTGTTTCCTGGCCAAGACCCCTGTTACGTAGCTAAATGCCATATAGTTCCCATAAATCAGCTTCCCCATCTGTTTCCTTGATGACCTTTCCAATGACTTAGTGACCTCAACTTTCGGGTCTCTATCCAGCACACACATCTCATGTAAATAAAAAACAATGATCATCAAGGCCCTGCCTGAACAACACAATCCTCAAAGGCCCTGCCCAACTCCTTTCTCTTTCTAGGTCTGCTATTCTCTCTCAATCAGGATAGAGTCTTAACTGCACAGATGGCCTGGTCCAGAGCCTCAATGCCACCAGACAGGGTCCTACTGAGCAAACAGGAGAGGTAGCAACAAATACCCAGGGTACAGTCCCCAGCAGGGAAACACAAACTCCAGAGCCCAGAATAAGGGGTGGTCAAGAAAAGTGCAACACAGAGCTTCTCTTTCGGCCCCAAAGATGGCAGTTACTGCACTGTAAAGGCAGCACTATCTTTAGCTGTTCTGTCTTTAACTCAAGCTTGGGGGGAAGTTGGTGGGGGAGGTGTTGGGGAGAGGAGATTACTGAGGATGAGGGGCAGAAATGAGGAAGAGAGGAAACTGTCTATCAAGGCTCATGAGTCCCAAAATATAAGAGAATCGTGCTTGTTCCTTCAGACCCTTTTCTTTATATTTCAGGATGAATTACTTTTCTTACCATCTTTGCTTTGGATATAAGTAATGAATGATGAATGAATTAAGCTGATGAATTTCAGGGCTGGTTACAAATCTGGCTGCAACTTCACAAGAGATGTGCTCCCTCATGCCTCTGTCCCCAAAATGATCCAGCAGGCAACCTTACCTACTGACATATATATGCAGATCAGTCAAAATGTGGTTCGAATGAAAAGTACTATATTATTAAGAAAACTGCATTATAATAATTCACAAAAGTTATTCCAAAGGGGAAAAAAATAAATTATCTCATATAAAATAATACATGGCATGTGTGAATAATCTTGGCTATTATCTTCAGAGAGCCTGCTTGCTGCCAGCCACCTGCACCCCCGCGGGGGGAGCAGATGTTTTCTGGAGGTGACTCTCCTGCACGATCGAGCTGGGTCCCTCCTCCAGGAGCTGGATTGGGGGGATTAAATGAGTCTGGAGTTTTGGAGGAACTGGATGAGGACTTGGTAGACAAACTTGTACTGAGCGATGGTCTGGATCATGAACATCCTCTGCTCCCTGAGGAGCCTCAGCATCATGGGCACTTCCACCTTCTGCAAGAAAAGAGAGAAAGCACAAGGTCCTGAGACAGGAGGCTTCCCTTAGAGCATTCCTCATTCCCTCATTCAGGAAGCACTCACCCACTGCCCATGCCCAGGTAGAAGAGAAAGCAAGGGACTCTGCCCCGGCTGGGTTTTACGTGTCAAACAGTTTATACCAGCAACTGGAGAACCTGGTCATCATGTGTCACTGGTGGAATATTTTATTTTTATTTAATTTCAAATTTTCTGAGAGGGTCTTGCTGTGTCACCCAGGCTAGAATGCAGTGGCACAGTCATAGTTCACTGCAGCCTTCAACTCCTGGGCTCAAGCAGTCCTCCTACCTGAGTCTCCCAAAGTGCTGGGGTTACAGGCGTGGGCCACCACACCTGTCCTGGTGTATTATTTTACATACAGACTAGTCTGCTGGATAAAACATAAAGGCTGGAGTGAGACCTGACTGGTACTCTCAACTCCACCACAACCCAATGACAGGATTTAAGACATCTCAGGGTCTTAGTTTCCTCATCTGTAAAATCAGGATAATAATGCTTTCCTCTAACAGCAGTGTGGCCTTGCCCTAGTTAGTGACATTTCCTCAGCAATAACATGGGGTATGAAATAACACCTGCCTCATGGGATCAAATGATGAAACACATATCAAGCACTTAGTGCACAGTGAGTGCTTAATAAATATTACTCATTATTCCTTTTTTTTTTGAGACAGAGTTTCACTCTTGTTGCCCAGGCTGGAGGTTAGTGGTATGATCTCGGCTCACTGCAACCTCTGCCTCCCAGGTTCAAGAGAGTCTCCTGCCTCAGCCCCCGGAGTAGCTGGGATTACAGGTGTGCACCACCACGCCTGGCTAATTTTTTGTAATTTTAGTAGAGACAGGGTTTCATCATGTTGGCCAGGGTGGTCCTGAACTCCTGACCTCTGGTGATCCACCTGCTTTGGCCTCCAAAAGTGCTGGGATTACAGGCGTGAGCCACCGCGCCTGGCTTCATTATTCCTTTATTAACATTAATAAATGTTGCTAATGCAATTATAATCTCACAGGACTGTGGTCATGATCAAGTGAGATAATTTAAGTGTGAACCTTTAAAATGTCAAAGCACCATTTCTGAACACCAGTCCTACTTGGAGTAAAAGCCTTTAACTGAGAACTTTTTTTTTTTTTTTGGGACAGAGGCTTCTTCAGGCAGCCAGGCTGGAATGCAGTGGCTTGATCTCTGCTCACTGCAACCTCTGCCTCCCAGGTTCAAGCGATTCTCCTGCCTCAGCCTTCTGAGTTGCTGGGATTACAGGCACGCGCCACCACGCCGGGCTAATTTTTTTTTTTAAATTATTTTTAGTAGAGATGAGGTTTCAGCATGTTGGTCAGGCTGGTCTCAAACTCCTGACCTCATGATCCGCCCACCTCGGCCTCCCAAAGTGCTGGGATTACAGGCATGAGCCACGGTGCCTGGCCGAGAACACCTTTTTTGAGACAGGGTCTTGATCTGTCGCCCAGGCTAGAGTGCAGTGGTGCAATCGTAACTCATTGCAACATCAACCTCCTAGGCTCAAGCAATCCTCCCACTTCAGCCTCCTGAGTAGCTGGAAGTATAGATGTGGCACACCACACCTGGCTAATTTTTAAAATTTTATGTAGAAACGAGGTCTCACTGTGTTGCCCAGGCTGGTCTCAAACTCCTGAGCTCAAGCAATCCTCCAGCTTTGGCCTCTAAAAGTCTTAGCATTATGGGTATGAGCCACTGTGCCTGGCCCTGAGTCTTAAATGAGAACATTTTGAGTATTAAATGAGATTGCCTATGTGTGAATTATTTGAGAGTATATACAATGATATATATTATCATTAATGAAAGGAAATTAATACAGTGTCATGGATACTTGAGCAGCCCAGAGGCCGTCACAGTGTCCTCTCCCCTCACCTTCACCACGTCCATCCTCCTGGACCAGCCAGGACACATACGGCTGGAGCACCCCCGAGCTGTGGAGGCCATGGTGGCCTCAGCACACTCACTGTGCTCTGGGAGCTCTTAACCCCGGGCAAATGATGGCACCCAGGAAGTTTTCAAGGGCTAAGCAAGTGTTTAAAAGAAAATAATAAAAACTCAGCTGTATGCTTGACTTTGTAACCTTTGAACCTTGAAAAATAATTTCAGCTATTTCCAAACTGTGTATAGTTATGACATGACACGTGCCATCAGTCACTCTTGTTCAACACCAACTAAGGAATGCACATCACAAACTTGTGACGTTGCCTGGGCTAGAGTGCAGTGGTGTAATCACAGTGGTGCAAACGGACAAAGTCAAGTCCCTGCCTAGTAAGAAAAGAAAAAAAAGGCATGTGAATCTTCGAACTATGAATCAAAGTACAGAACCTAGGTTATAAGCTTCTGATGGTAATAAGTAGGTCTCTGCCTAAATTATATTGCAAAGTGACCAGTATCATGAGATGTGATCTAGAGCCACCTAATAATGAACTTAATTTCATGTTTGATGAGGATTACTCTGTGGTTGGGCACTGAAGTTAAAAGAATAGAGAGAATAAGGCTGTTCTGCTCCCCTACCCAGCAAAGGTTTTAGTCGGGAGGCAGGATCACACTGGTGTTCAGAGCACAGGCTCTATCTAAGTAAGGCTTCATCTGCTGAATCTCAGCTCTACCACTTCTTGGCTGTGGAAAGCAGGCACATTACTTCATTTACCTATGACTCAGTTTCTCTTCTGTTATGTAAGGATACTGACATGGTCTTGGCTCTGTCTCCACCCAAATCTCATGTGGAATGGTAACCTCCAGTGTTGGGGGAGGGACCTGGTGGGAGGTGATTGGAATATGGGGGCAGATTTCCCTCTTGCTGTTCTTGTGACAGGGAATTCTCATGAGATCTGGTTGTAAACTTAACTTCCCCCTTTGCTCTCTCTCTTCTGCTATCATGTGAAGACATGCTTACTTCCCCTTCACCCTTCACTATGATTGTAAGTTTCCTGAGGCCTCCCAGCCATGCTTCCTGTACAGCCTGCAGAATTGTGAGTCAACTAAACCTCTTTCCTTCATAAATGACCCAGTCTCAGGTAGTTCTTTATAGCAGTGTGAGCATGGACTAATACAGGTACTAACAGGACTTGGTGCACAGTGTCACTGCAAAGGCTACTTGTGTTAATACTATAAGGCTTTAGAATAGTGCGTATACATGGCAAACACTAGACACAAGCTAGCTGTTAAGATATTATTTTCAATGTTGTCACCATCACCACCTCCTCCACCACCACATCTTCCTCCTCCTCCTCTACCATCATCCCTATCTCAATTACCTGTAGGACTGAGCCTAAATGACAGTATATTGTCTGATATGGAGAAGTCTGGGGACATGACAAAGAAAGTTCTCCTGGTCTTCAATGAAAGGGTCCCAGCTGGCTTAAAGATTCATTCACTCCCACAGGCTCTGCTCTTAACTGTCCCCAAGCCAAGGAAGCACAAAGCAGTTGACACTTGCTCAGTCTTGTCTAGAAGACATTTTCTCCTCCTCACTTTATGAAGGAGGTATAACTTATTCAGAAAAGCAGCAAGATCAAGACATCTGCCCTTTTGGCTACTGAGATCCTAAGTTTTTGTAATTAGCTGTAGCTGGAACAGACAGCTACATCCAGAGGACTGAGAGAGTGTACTGCAGACCATAAAACGAGTGCTTTCTGAAAAACTCTATGCACCTTAAAATGCCTCAGCTAACACTCAGTGACCAAAAGCACTGGGCCACAGGGAGGCTTCCCAGAGCAGCCTGGGACAGTTGTCCCCACTCCCCACCGCACAGCTACCAACCTCATTGTAAGTGTCTGCGTTTCATTGTTTCTGCTCAACTTTTCTGTGTTTAGAATAAGACTGAGAGGGACAAGTCCAGGAAAAAGAAAGGTCGTTTCACTGACAGAATTAAAACTGCAAGAATTACAGACTAAAATATAAAATATGTTAAATCCAGAAGCTGTGGAAAGAAGGCAGGGGAGTTTGGACAGGAGAAAAATGGGACCCACAATTTAATATATATTTGTTAAAATCTTTGCTTGAAAAACAAACAAACTAAACATGGTCTACTCTTCTCCTGAAATAGGGGCTTGGATCTTACTAGCCAGGCCTGAAACAGTATCAGAACAAAAGTAGAGCATTTTTTTCCCCCAACCATCTACCAATAGCAACCATGGGAATAGGACAGATAAGACTGGCTATATTTGTGCTAGGGGAAGTGAAGTGAAGAATATGAGTCATCTTGCTATCTTTGAATATCAATGGGAACAGAAGTTCTTTTTGGATTAACCACGTCCCAGCAAAGAATGTTCTGGCATGCAGTTGGGCACTGAGGAAATCCGCTATGTTTGGACACACCATAGAGCATTTAACCACTCTGAGCCTTCACCAAGTCCACAGGAGGCCACAATGGCCGAATCCCTCACTCCAAACTGTTCTGGCTTTGATATGCCTTGTCTGTGCTCTGCTGGTCCAATAACATCTGGTGTTCAGTGAGCCCCCACGTCATCGCCTCACTGAGGCTCAGCCTTTGACGGGTCTCCAAAGAGCTCAGAATAGTTTTTAATGTCAGACAAGACAGAATGGCTTCTTGAGTTGAAAAGGGGAAGTGGGGAGCAGAGCACAGGGAACGGGGAAAGAAGGGGAGTGGCCAGGCTCACAGCTGTAATCCCATCAACTCGGTAGACCGAGGTGGGAGGATTGCTTGAGCCCAGGAGTTTGAGACCAGCTTGGGCAACACAGCAAAATCCTTTCTCAAAAAAAAAGAAAAAAAAAGAAAACAAGCGGGGAATTTGGTGACAAAAGTGATATGAAGGGAAGGACAGGACAATTAGGTGGGGGAGGTGATGATGAGGCCCTCAAGCCATGCACACACTGATTCTACCTCATCTTATTTTGTCTTCCTAGCAATGGATGGATTGAGACTCCGTGGGCAGGTTACTCATTGTTCTAGAAATTTCTAGAGACCTCTAGTAGTGAGAGGAATAGAGAGGCGAACAATAAAAAAATCCTATGCGGGACAAAATGGTACAAACTCAGAGGGCAATGACATTTCTGTTATGTAGTCTCAACTGATTCCATGATGAGCATTTCGCTCAAGCTTTATTTTATGTTTTTCTAACATTAGGCTACAGTTCGGATTGCCCCTTTTCCAATTTTTAGCGGCACAAACATTCATTCCCATGGACAGACTAGAAGATTCTCAAAATTATCATTTCACAGGCAGAAAGTTTAATGTCTAAGTTTAGCATTTGTTGTTTTCCTGGAAGACTCAATATGACAAACTTCATATTTAATCTGATTTTCAAACGATTCATGCTATTGAATAAATAGTATATTATCATATAAATTCCTCCACAGAATTGCAACAAATCATTCTATAATTTAAGAACTACCAAACCACAAGTTTCCTTTACTTTTTCAAGCCATATAATTTGAAAACTGAGTAAGAACCAAATCTTATACAGCGTTTGGAGGCAGAGTGAAGACAGGAAATAACTCCGGACTCAGACACAGAAGACCTTGCTTCTGGCTTCAGTACCACTGCGTAAGAGCCACACGGCACTAGACGAATCACATAATTACTTCCGGGCCTCAGTTTCCTCTTCTGTGAAACAGGAGGAGTGACATGTGCATGGCTCCTCTACTTGGCTGGTATGGCAGGCAAAAGGCCTTAAAAATTCTAATGTCCCAGGTAGCTAGAAGGTAGAAGAACTATTCCTTAGCTTTTGACTGCTGTTTGTCTCACCTACACAAAATTCAAAGTCTCTCAGTGTAACTCCGTAATCCTACAGCAGCAAAGGGATGCCATGTACCTTGTGTGCACAGGCTCAGCAGCACCCCACTTCTGCAGGAAGAAGGGGTAGGGCGATCAGCCGATGCAAAGACGGGGATGTTTGCATGCTCTAAGTATCTCCTCTGCTCCGCTACACCACACAACTACCAGACTAGATAAGCAAACAGCCCCCCAGACCTCACTCTGAAGAATGAAAAACATTTTCCAAGTAGACACATCTTCACCTAGGATTTATGCCAGAACACATCCTAGAAATGCAAGACGCATCTAAACTATATGGGGTCAAATAACTCACCATGGAAAATTACCCACAATGAAACCAGGCTATCTACAAAATGCCAAAGACTTCTGGAAGTAGATGCCGACTAAGATCACATTTTCTAAGTGTTTTCTATTGCACGCCCTCATTTCTCCTCTTTTATCTGGATATCTACATGGAGCAGTGGGAGGGCAAAAAGATAAGGAGGACTGTAAATGTCAGAGTCAAACTAGGAACCAGGAGCCTGGAAAACTCTGGTCAGGAGAGAGGAAATTAACCACTGAAAAGGCAAGGGCGCGGGCAAAGGTTTGGCAAGGGTGTAGACTTGTCCCCAAGGTGGAGTATCCGGAGAGAAGCCCAGAATGACTCACTTCGTTATGCTCCAAGCAGTAGATCATCAGCTCAGAAAGAATGAGCACGCCGGTCCTTCCCACCCCAGCACTACAGTGGACCACGATGGGTGGGTGCCGGTTCTTGGTGCCTTCCAGCATGCTGTTGGTATGGCGACGGACCGACTGGATCTCCTCCAAGTAGGCTGCAGGACAAAACGCAAATTCTGTCACCGAAGTCCTCCATGGCTTTGCATATAAGTTGGGGAGGGGGGAGCGGAAGAGAACTGATGGTGAATGTGTGTGTGTGTGTTTTTTTAAGTGACAATAATTTACAGTTCTTACAAGATACTAATTATTTGGCTGGTACCCAATGTACAGTCCTGGATCCAGAAAGGACCAGCTGGGAGTCAATTAGTTCATGGGAGAATTTGTTCTTTAAATTAAATAGTTCTTTTTTAAAAATTAAATTCTGTTTTCCCCTCTGCAAATCCCTAAGTCCCCCAAGCAGATGATTCTAGACATTACTTACAGCAATTCCTGCTATTAACAGACTGGGATCAGAACAACTGCTAAGTCCCCTTGAAACGCCCGCCTGTCAGAGCCAATTTCTGGTAGGGAGAGAGCATCCATCTGCCCCTTCTTCCTTCCCCTCACTGATGAGTGAATGTCAACTGAGGCTTGACTTCATTTTTGGATGTTAAAGTAGACTTTGGAGAGTCTGCTTTTCAGCATGGATTCCACGGGGCTATGTGAGTAGCCCAAGATGAACCCCCTTTCTGGAGGCAATATGTGTGTGAGGTGGAGGGGGTCATGATGCCCCCCATGCCTTCTAGCATCTGCTTGGCTCAGCAGGGCTGTGTAGGGAGGGGTGTGTTCATGACTCCAACTGGGCCCAAAAGAAAAATCACAGGATTCCAAGCCTTAATGACTTTTTTCACAACCATGACAAAAGAGAAAAGTATAGAAATGTAATCCTCAGACACTCCAAAAACCCCCAAAATTTAATTAATAATTTAGATTTTGTAGTAGCTCAGGAGAGAAACAGATTTAAAGGTTCTTGATACTCAGTGAACCTCATCCTAAAGCAAAAGTGTAAACCAGACTATAGGGGAAATGTTTACATTGTTGAAGAGAAAAAAGTAGGTTTGAACCATTCAAATAATTTCAAAGCACCTGTTTACAGACATATATAAATAACCCGCACTTTCCTTTATAATCTTACCTAATTACAAAATAATCTGAAGTAGTTTACCAAAAAAGTAAACTATTATTATCACTACTACTACTACTACTAGGATGATGATGACTAGTAATAGTTATTAGTACTAGTCAGAGCAGTACTAGTAGTAGTAGTAATGTACCAAGAGATAGGACAAAACAAAAAAGAAGGGCCAGGCGCAGTGGCTCGTTCCTGTAATCCCAGCACTTTAGGACGCCGAGGCAGGCGGATCACCTGAGGTCAGGAGTTCGGGACCAGCCTGACCAAGATGATGAACTCCTGTCTCTACTAAAAATACAAAAATTAGCCAGACATGGTGGCATGCGCCTTTAATCCCAGCTAGTACTCCTAGCTACTCGGAAGGCTGAGACAGGAGAATTGCTTAAAACTGGGAGGCGGAGGTTGCAGTGAGCCGAGATCCTGCCATTGCACCCCAGCCTGGGCAAGAGCAAAACTCCATCTCAATTAAAAAAAAAAAAAAAAAAAGGAGATGGTGAGATGAACAGAGGGAGTAGTTACTATTAGGTACCAATACAAGCTAGATATTGTGTGTGGAATCTTCTTTACACTTTTTCTGTGAGGGGGAAAAGACGTTAGGCAACTGAGTATTCTGTCTGACCAAAGGCAATATTTACATACAAGAGACAAAGTTTTACTTGAGCTAAATTTAAGAAGAAAAACAAAAGGAATGTTGGGTAATACTGTAGATGCCACTTTCAAATAGAGCTTTTCATGTAATGGAGAGGTGGATTTAAAGGATGTTTCCTCTATAGTCATATTACTAAAGTTCCTTACGCCGTAACTCAATAAAGACTTCTGGAGGGCAGTAAACAATTTGGCTTAGGTACTCTGCATCCAGGTAACCTAATTTAAACATGGGCAAAACAATCTTTTACAACCTAGGAGAAACAGATTCAACATTTCTAATGCCCTGCACAGAATACGTGTATTGAGTTTCCTAAAAGCATAATACATACATTTACATTCTTTAAAACTACTATGTATTTTTCGGTAATTTAGACAGGCTTTCCTTAATTGGTTCTGATTTAAAAAGCTATTCTTTAAAGTGTTTTATAAGCTCACTCTTTCATCAGAGCTGTTAGCCAATCAACAAACTGATCTACTTATATTATTTCCCTTTTCTGCTTCTTGGAGAAAATTTTAATCAGTCAGTTAGCACGTGATCAGCTGAAAGAAATACAATGAGCACTGTTAGGAGGAAGGGAAGTTCTGCAAAGGTCACTGCCCTTATTTCAAGCTACAGATAACAAGCCATTTGACCTCAGGCAAATCACGAATCCTCTCTGGATCTTACTCTAGATCCTCTGACTCCAATCATCTTTCTACTCTCTGCTTTCAGTGCCACACCCCTCAAGTACCATCGTCACTTTCATGGAAATGAAATGCTTGTATTGCTGGATAAGTACACATCAGAATATTTACTGGAACTTGTAAATCAGTATTTTTAGGTCTTGAGAACCTGTTCTCTCTCTCTCATTCCCTTTTTCTCCCATTCTAAATGAATACCAAAATAAAATCAAGGTTTTGACATTATCCAACATCTGGATGATGGTCCCTTTGTGGTGGTCACAGGTCTTCCACTAGCTACAGAGTCAACAACAGAGCAGGCACAAGGCTACAGGGAGCATCTGGGGCTCCTTTCCAGTTGGATGAGTAAGGAATGGGGTTTCCCGACAAGCACAGGACAGTTAGGCAAGTAGGTGGAAAGAGGGAGAGCTGCAGCCACCACTGAAAAGCAGAGGAGGGTATCAGATCTCATCTTTGGATGATGATGACTGGCCTGTCTTTCCCATTACGCTCTGAGTACCTTGAAAGTGAAGACAACTCTGTCATCTCTGCATTCTCAGAGCCCGATCCAGTGCCTGGCATGTAGTGGGTACATGGCCAATTTGGGGCCGTTCAAATAAAAATACTGCACATAATCTGGTGAATTAGTTTCTAATATAACCACATTCTAAAAATACACATACATAGAAATTAATTAATTAGCCATTGAGCAAATTTCAGTTTCGAAAGCTACAAGAGGGTTTCAATACTTCTTAGTGTCTTCATAAAAATATGAGAAAGTACGAGAAAGTACTGAGATTTATGACTGTAGGGAAATATAGGGCTTGTGAGATGCAAACCTTCATGAAAAAAATTTTAATGTTATTCATTTATTTATATATATATTTATTTATGTATTTATTTATGAGATGGAGTTTCGCTTTTGTTGCCCAGACTGGAGTGCAATGATGCAATCTCGGTTCACTGCAACCTCCGCCTCCCAGGTTCAAGTGATTTTCCTGCCTCAGCCTCCCCAGTAGCTGGGATTACAGACATGCGCCACCACATCTGGTTAATTTTGTATTTTTAGTAGAGATGGGGTTTCACCCTGTTGGCCACACTGGTCTCAAACTCCTCACCTCAGGTGATCCACCCACCTCGGCCTCCCAAATTGCTGGGATTACAGGTGTGAGCCACCACGCCCGGCCTATTTTTAAATTTTATTTCTCCTTTTTTTTAATGTGCCAAAGTGGACACAACAATTTACCAGTTTAACCATTTTTAAGTACACAATTCAGTGGCATTAAGCATATTCATAGTTGTGCAACCATCACCATCATCCATGTCCAGTACTTTTTCACTGTCCCAAACAGAAATACTGCACCTATCAAATGGTAATTCCTGGCTAGGCACGGTGGCTCACACCTGTAATCCCTGCAATCTGGGAGGCTGACACGGGCAGATCACTTGAGGCCAGGAGTTCAAGACTAGCCTGGCCAACATGGTGAAACCCCATCTCTACTAAAAATACAAAAATCAGGTAGACGTGGTGGCTGCGCCTGTAGTCCCAGCTACGTGGGAGGCTGAGGCAGGAGAATTGCTTGAACCTGGGAGGCAGAGGCTGCAGTGAGCTGAGATCATGCCACTGCACTCTAGCCTGGATGACAGAGTGAGACTCCACCTCAAAAAATAAAAAATGTGTAATTCCCGAATCCCCCTTTGCCGCAACCCCGGTAACCTCTCACCTACTTTCTGCCTCTGACCTTGTCTATTCTAGGTACCTCATATAAGTGGAATCATGCAATTTTCGTCCTTTTGTGACTGGGTTATCTCCACTCAGCATCATTCGTCAAGGTTCATCCTTGTTGTAGCATGTGTCAGAATAGTTACCGATTAAATGAGTAGCTAAAGGTCTGAATCAAGGTAGAGCCAATATGTTGATCACAGTCTTAGCTTATGCGTATGAAAGGCAAACAGAGTAAGTGACATGTATTATTCTTCTCTGTTCTACATAATAAGAAAGGAACATATATTTCAATATTATAATACTTTTGCTACTTAAGAGAAAGCATCCTCTTTTTCCATTTCATCTCCAACGGCTGGATTATTGACACAGTAGGTAAAAGTCAGTCAGGTAGCAGACTGGGAAGAAAAACACTTACATAAAAATCCTTGGACGTCCTCTGGACAGCCGTGATCTGGCCAGTCAGTATATTGTAAATGCCACACTGTCCTTTCTTGCCCAGACAAAAGGTGCTTGACTTTCAAGCCTGTGGTTGCATAGCAAACAGAATCTGTTCGAAACTTTGTGGTCACCTTGAACTTGCCATAGGTGGCTGAGCTGTGCTTGGAACCCAGTTTGGGCCAGTATCGGTGGCTTTTGGTTCGTCCACCCTCCTAAATCACATATAAAGCAAAATTGGAAATAGGTCAAGGGAAGCTCTCATCCTTTTAATCCTAAGATGTGAAGACAGAAGAAAATGCAAATAGCTTCTAAATCGCTAGTTCAGTAGCACTCTGCAGTGTCTACACTGTACAGGGTAAATCCTATACATGCTAGTTAAGACCAATAACACAATTTACAATGACAGTTACATCAATGGAAAATTTAAGAGATTCACAACGGAGGTGCAGTGGAATGTTAGAGAGAAGTGCAAGTGCAAAGTCTAGAAGCAGGAACAAGCTTGGTGCATTCAAGAAATGAAGGTCTTCGGGGTGGCTGGAGTGTGACATGTGAGGGGGCAGGTGGTCGGACAGGAAACTGGAAAGGCCTCACAGTCCATGGTGGAAAGTTTGGATTTCACCCCAGGGGCAATGGGAAGTCATTCAAAGGTTTTACACAAGTGGGGAAGGGGTTCCAGCAATCGCTCTAGGTCATGCTACTCCTTTTGGATGTTCAGTGCAGAGCTCTTTTTGTTACAGCACAGACTACCGACATTGTCTTTATCTAGTGTTGATCTCACATTTGTTTCAGTCTGACCAATGCGTTCTGGTTCCATCTACAACTAGAACTGAGAACAGCTGGTTAAATCACCATTCTTTCTCCCTTGATTTTATAATCTTTTCTGAGAATATGTACTCTCAACCATTTACACAAGGTCTATGTTTCAGTTTTGCAGTTTTAAAATCCCTGGAGAAGGGGCGGAGTGTGGAGGAGGCGGTAGCTTAGGAGATTCAGGGCAAGGAGTAGGTGGTGAGAGAGAAGGAGCACTGAACACACAGAGCTGCAGTGGTGACAGGCTCTGGGAACCCTGATGGCTGTTTAGAGGAACATTAGGGTTCCTCTTGTAAAGCCCACTAGTAAAGCAACACATCTTTGGGGAATATATAAATTATATATTTATATATAATTTGGGGAATATATAAATTACCTTGCCTGGCTTCATTTGGTTTAACTGAGTCTCCTTAAGTTGGAAGCACACCTTCCTCTTTTATTTACCAATCCTATGAAAGCAGATTTACCTCGAATTTACATTTCTGCTGAGTGTCTAAATCAGTTATGGATTTTAAAAGGCTGTAAGTCCCCAGCTGTCCCACAGATCACTAGATGCTACTTTGTCTTGGCAAGGCTGGCCCCTTGTCACTCCGGTCTCACCTCCAATGCCACTTCCTCGGAGGGTCCTTGGCCATGCCCTGATCTCAAATAGCCCCCAGTCACTCTTTCTTAACCCGTTTTCCATTTTTAAAAATTTTCTCCCTTGAATTTATGCTCCTATTAATAAGGTTTTCATTTCCAGCCTTCCAGCAAGTGTGTGACATGATAGCGAGTCTGGACCTCAGGGTTGCACATCGTGAAGCTACCCTTTAGTAGGAGTCCCCTAGTGTGAATGACCGTTTTGCGGCTGAAACCCACACAAAGAGGAGGAGGGATGTGGCAGGAAGACCTGTACTCACCCAGACCCGCTCTGGACTGTAGTTTTCCATTTTTGCCATGGCACTTACTGCTAACTGCACTTATTTTATTTGTTCACTTCTGAATGTCCCTCCCACTAGGACATAAGCTCTATGGGGACAGGGATGGTGCCTGTCTCGTTTATTACCATGTACTCCTGAAGTTAGCACAGATGGTATGCTGTATTTAGGTGAATGAATGCCTTGCAATGGTGTGATCTGATAAGGTGATAAATCTATTCTAGAAGCTTTAAGGAGGATTCATTCTCTTTGTGGGAAGGTCAAGCAGGTCAGCCCAGGGAAGTACAACTGGCTTTAAAGAGCCTGATGTCCCTTTCATTATTTTCTTCTAATGGACTGTGCTGAAAAGCCAATGCTCAAAACAGTCAATGAAGAAAAATATGACTTTTTCCTCCCCAGTTTTCTTTGTTCCTGACCCCTTTAACGTGGCTAGGAAAGGCCATTGCAATACCACGGATATTGGTAAACACAGATGAAACTAGTCCCTTGAATGATTTCAAAACATAAACTGGAATTTAATGAAAGAAATAAAAGAAGGTGGTTAAAGAAATTTTGAGAATGTGACAAGAGAAGAAACACAACACTTCTCCCTGCAAAGACAGCAACACTGACTGGATTGACTGGCAGTGTAGGCTGGTTTTTTATAACATCACATAGAGTTCTCTAGTTACAGCAGAAAAACTATGTTTGGCTTGGCAAAAGAAGAAAAAGATATTTTTTCTTCCACCAAAGAACAGAGGCCTCTCCAGGAACAACAGCTTCTGGTCTCTTTTCAGCTGATAAGCATGGTGGCATGCGGAGCTGGGTGCCTGGAGTTGGGCATCTATGTCGATTTGCCCAGAGCAGCCTGAGACTCCCAAATTCCAGTGGAAAGATCACTGTTTTCATTTGGTACACAAAGTCAGCGGGTTGAACTCAAGTTTGGTCATTTTTGGTTTTCTGTTCTTTTATTTTCAGCTTAGTGCATTACAATCCAAGGAAAAGAGTTAAAAGAAAGAAGAAAATGGGAGGAGGGAAAGCTACAACAATCAATTATCTCCGGGGGAAAAATATCTAGCTGGAAGAAAGAAAACAGATGTATACCAAAGAGAAAAGCATTTGCAGAGAAACAGCACTGCAGGAAGAAGGATAGTGTAGCAAAGTTGCCAGCACAAAGCCAATCTTCTGGCCACCCTTTCCCTAGGGAAAAGGACATGGAGTAGGCCATACTCCTTACCTCCTCTGCGGTGACCATGGCAATGACATTCACTCCTTGCTCCCACACCATCTGCCAGAAGTCGTGGCACGTGTGTGGTAGGGGCCCCTGGGTGGCTATGTAGTGCCATTCTGCCCCTCCAACCACCACCTAAAAACCAAGAAAAGTATCAGTAAATAAACCCCAAGTCCAGGACAACATTACCTGCTCATCACCTGTCCATCTGTATCCACCTTAAAACCTTGGATCTATTTTTGGGGCCAAATGAATTAGTTCAATTAACAAAATCCCTCAGACTATAGAGGCTAGTGTAGTGACACATTCTCACATGAAAATACTTTCTGCCACTCAAGCCTATTAAAACATTTACCTAATCCTGGTTTTTGAGACTGAGTCTTGCTCTGTTGCCCAGGTAGGAGTGCAGTGGCACGATCTTGGCTCACTGAATCCTATGCCTCCCGGGTTCAAGCAATTCTCCCGTCTCAGACTCCCAAGGAGCTGGGGCTACAGGCACCCACCATCATGCCCAGCTAATTTTTGTATTTTTCTAGAGATGGAATTTCACCATGTTGGCCAGGCTGGTCTTGAACTCCTGACTTCAGGTGATCCGCCCATCTCAGCCTCCCAAAGTGCTGGGATTACAGGTCTGAGCCATTGCGCCTGGCCTTTACCTGATCTTTGTTTGTAACTCACAGTATATGCAAACTAGTGCCTATTAAAAACCATACACATACACACACGTATATATGCATACATATGAACATGTATAACTTAGGATTTGTTACAGAAATAATAGTTATGCTTACTATGTGCAATGTACTCTGACACTTTCCATTCTTTTCTCTTGTCCATTTCATTAAAACACACACACACACACACACACACACCTGGTCATGACCACTAAACTGATTTCACATTCTACCACTGTGTTGTAATCCAGTTTGAAAAACAGTGCTTCATGATATCCAATTAAACAATTAAAAAAAAAAAAAAAAAAGGCCATGAAACAACATCCCTTTTGGAGCACTATCTTTCTCCTGTGGATCTGAGATGAAGTGTATCATAAACGTCTGCTGTCACTGCTGCTCTGTGGTGCCATGCACGGCAGAGATGCTACGAATGCTCTTGTCAACAGCATATAATATTTTATCAATAACTTCACCTTGGTAGTACCATGGCATCCAACTGAACTACATTCATGACATGACTTTGGATAATAAAATTATTACCCCTGCGGCTCAGGGTGATCAGGGGAAGATAATTCTACAGCTATAAATACTAGCTGCAGAGAACCATAAATAAGAAGTTGTACCCAAAGTGTTAAAGGTCATGCTGTCAAGGTGAAATGGTGGCCTTTGGAGGAATTCTTTCTATTCTCCCTTCCAGCTCTGTGCCTTGATATTGCAAAGGCAGGCCCCTTCTACATCTATGCAATGCAGATCTCTGGAGAGTTCAAAAAGCAATGATGTCATCATTGTTTGAAACTTCTTTCCCTCATTTATTTGATAAAACTGTATGCTAACTTGATTCAAACAAAAACAATGTAAGTTACTGTCTCATTACACAAGACATGTTTAGGTCAAAGCTGGCAAGAAAAATCCATTTTCCAAATACTGGTGGGAGATAACGTTCATATATTTGCTGGCTAGGAGTTTGGTTTATCCGTGGAATTGTGATTTTAAACATTAGCCTCTCTGGCACCCAACGTATAGGAAACATAAATACTTCCAGAGAATGCTGCTGCTGCCTGGGGCCTTTCAGCATATTCCAAGTATTGACAGGAGGGTATTAAAAACTGCATTAAAAACACAACAAGCAGTGCTACTGAGGTAGATTTCACAGATGTGATTCCACCTCTGGAGCAAATAAATCTCTGTTCTGTGTTAACGGCTGCTTGGAACCCAGTGGGGAAAACATTGGCAAAACATACACCTCTATTCCAAAACACAGGGACAAGTTCTTGCAAGCTCCATGGGTCTATTAAATGCACCCATGTCTAACCCGGATCCACAGGATGAAATGTGGGCCACAGAGAATACCAAGGAAGGGAATGCTTCTCAGTTAACAATGCCCGATGGGCACAGTTTATACAAAGTGACAGCTTTTTTCAGAGAGCAGATGGAAAATAGTGGAAGAGATCTGGCCAAAAGAAGAAGATAATATAATATTGCTATGTAAGATCTTCATAGACACTCTATCAAGAAGCAGCTGTGTGATCTGCATCCTTGTTTGAATACATTACGTTGGTCATTGTTTCATAATCTAAACTAAGCCCATGAAACCCACCACTGACAGTTTATTTAAGAGTTTCCTAGAGTTCATTTTTTACTTCTCACTCTCAAAAATCCAAATAAAAATTAGTAATATGATCTATGATAGTTACTCTTTTATATTTCTTTTGGCAGTACTTTCTAATTATTAAAAACTATGGTTATCTGTGTATATTAATAAAAATACTATATACCCAACCATGCTATACTTTTCACATTCTGTATCAAAACTAGTTATAATTGACACACAAACTAGATACCTAACTAGCCTTTAGAGGCTCAATAAAACCTGATAATAATTCTGCTACAGTTGAAAAGTCCAATGAGGAAAGCAAATAATTCTAGACAAGGCCGAAAATAGGTTTCTAAGGCTATTGATCACAGTGGACTATTAATTGAACCTTGTATTATTTAACAACATCCTATAACAATGGCTTTAACATTAATAGATGAACAAATCTCCCACTTTAGAGTTCAGAGCAAATGGTGACATTCTAAATAAGTGTCCTCTGTTAACAGGAACTCTGAGGAAGGTAAGCTATTTAAGAAACATTTAACTACATGTACACATGTATCCATAACTCAACTGCAGAAGTGCTAAACTATGTAACACTGACATACAAAGGTTTAAAGTATTTGAAATAATAACAAAAACTTACTAACACAAATTCATTGACTAATGTGGCACATCTTTCAAGATTCAATATTAACCACACTTTTAGAGTGCAGGTGAAAATTACTCCACTCTTCTAAATACCATGCAATAATAGGACTTGTGCTTTTATAAAATGCATAACCCGCAGTATTATAAGGGAGAAACAATAGTTTCTGTTGTTATTGAACATAACACCTTAATGTCAGTAACGCAATACCTGTAACTTCCAAAGTCTCCACCTCTGCTAATTACAAACCAAAATGGATAATCTTCAGTTTTTCCTGTGAGTATAGACAGAGTTACAGCCCACAGAGAGAAAGAAAAGTTAAGGCCTCTGTCATGAGTGAGCTTCAGAAATCCCTGACCGGAGGTTCTTCCTGAGGCTGCTAGACTTCCTTCTCTCTGCAGTGATAGACATGCCTTTCCACCTGACTAAGAAAAGCACAGGAGTTCAAAAACAATCCCTGAGGGTCTGGGGACAAGCCAAAAGGTACAGCTGCAGCCCACACATTTTCTTCTCCCCGCATTTTTACCTTTAACCCAGCCATCTTTAACAAACCTTCTAACAGGCTTGCCTTCCTACCTTGATGTGGGAGGCGTTAATATATCCCGTGTTATTTTCTTTGGTTGGTATCAGCTCTACTCGATTCTCCTCATAGGGGACAACTTCACGGATTCGGCTGCGCTCGGCATTTTCTGGCAGAGCTGCTGTGCTGAAAATGCCATTCGCCTTTTTCTTTGGAATTTGCTCATATTCTGTGAACACCATTCCCTCTTCTAGTTTCTTCTTCAGGGTTCTGAACTGCAACAGAAATTGATCTTCAGCTCTCTAAATTATCTGATCCAAAAACTCAATGAAATAACCAAATTTCTTTAAATATTTAGCGATTGTATTAATAAGAGATTTCAAGTTGTACAATCAATACTTGGTTTGTCTCCTTATCAACCATATTGATTGTTTCCCTTGTCTAATAACCATTTTCCTTCTTACTCATAAGTAGAACAAATCTGCAAGAACTAGCAAGAGTTAAAATTCAAAAATCAGTATTTTTGCTATTAACAACTCTGTTTAAAGTCCTAATGATAAAAAGACTGTTCATTTTAATTATCCAAACATCCTTTTCTCCACCTATGTAGCTGCTTTTAAGATGACACTGGGTCCACAGTTCTATAGCTCTGAGGATTAAATCTCTCTCTTTTTACCTCTTCCCTGGCCAAACTAATAATTACAATAACATGGTATTAATTGGGTTAAATGATTCCTCTAAAGTCCCTTCTGGCTTTAAAAACATTCTAATTCTGGATACATACTGGCAGAAATCGAACACCCTAATGTTATTAGTACTCTATTACATTTATGCAACCTGTTTATTAACCTTCTGACAGCAACTTCAGGAACTAAGGATACACCTTTCTTCACCTCTAAAACACTACCATGCAGCTGCTTTCTGCTTTTCAAAACCCATGTTTTCACAATGCATTATCCAGACGATTATAAATCAGCCTCATTTTATGGTCATATGAGGGGACAGCATTTTTAAAGAACTCTATAAATGCTTAGATACAAGGTCATGTCTTTTGCGGGAAACATGGAAGGAACTGAAGGCGATTTTCCTTAGCAAACTAACGCAGAAACAGAAAACCAAATATTGCATGTTCTCACTTATAAGTGGGGGCTAAATGATAAGAATTTACGAACACAAAGATGGAAACAACAGACACTGGGGCCTACTTGAGGGTGGAGGGTGGAAGCGGGGAGAGGAACAGAAAAGGTAACCATGGGGTACTGAGCTTAACACCTGGATGATGAAATAATACGTACAACAAACCCCTGTGATACGTGTTTACCTATGTAATAAACTTTCACATGTGCCCCCAAAACTAAAATAAAAGTTTTTAAAAAATTAAAAATAAAAATAAATGATTGGATAAAATAATCACTTCCTAAGAAATGGCAATTGCTCACAAAAATCATAGAAATTGAGAGCTACCGCAAGTGTTTAACTTGTGCATTTTACAAGAAAGGAAGCAGGCCCAAAGAAATTGAGTGACTTGACCAAGTCATACAGCATGTTAGGGGCTGCTGGTTTTAGGTAACCAATGATCCGCCAACCGGACAAAGCAGGAAGACCGGAATGGAGAAACAGGAGATGCTGGAAGGGACTGATTTAATGCAACACAGTTATGCCTGATCTTCCTAATCTCAGATTGAAGAAATAATGCATCACACAAATCTCAGTGCTGGCATATTCGAGGAAGGAGGGTGTTTTGGGATCCTCAGACTACAGAGAATGAATCACATTTGACAAGCCTGCCACTTACCCTCTCGTCCATGGGAACCCGGGTGGCATCAACTCGATTCTCTTCCCGCCCTGAGACTCGAGCCACCGAGAGCCCGTTCAACGCTGCCAACATCAGCGGCCTCTTCTGTGCCTCCAGGCCTGCCATCTTCTGCTTCTCTAGATTCTTGCGGCAAGAAAAGGCATGTTCTCATTGTTTATAATACTAGTAGAATGTTGGAATGTGTTTTAATCTCCTCAAATCTGTAACTCCCCAGCCAAGGAATGCAGACAATCACCATCAGTAGGGCAAATTCAAACACAGCCTTCCCACTATTCCCACTGGGCCCCCGGAAGCCAGTTCCTACAGGACTCCTGAGCTTTTATTCTTAATTAACTCCTTAGCCAGATAGACCAATAAATAAGAAAAAAGACTCCCTAAAAATACACCCTGCCATAGGGCAAAACAAAACAAAAACAAAATAGGGTACGTGCGATACACTTTAGAAAGATAAGGATGACAAGACAAGGAAAAGAGAAACAGGGTTATATGAATCATCTAATCCAATCACAGTGATGGACCTTTTGCACAGATGGAATAGAGCAAAACTTGTAAAACCGTTTGTTATTGATTGAGAGATTCATACACATAAACTGTAGAGAAAAATCTTCCTAAGCTTCTGTCCTGAGGATGTTAATTCTATAATTAATCTCTAGTCCTTGGAGTACCTAAGGGTGGTGTCATGCCCAGAATTGAAAGCTGATGTGGTTTAGCAAACTCACTAACACCGAAGCCTGGCTGGGGTCATCTAAGATGATCCACAGGCCTTACACTTCAGGCTTCACCCAGAGGGCCCACAATAACAGAGACTGTGCCTGCCAATACAGATGGTGGGACATCACTGCATGCCACTGAGCTATGGGGGAACATGGACTCCAGAACTGAGCAGACCACTTAGGGAAAGGTTTCGATGTTTACACCTGGCCCAGTTTGGGGCTTTTTGATTTCCATCCTCTCCACCCTCAACTCTAAATTGAAATTGGATTGGGCAGGGCTGGTTTTTAGCCTCCTGCTGTGCTTCCTCAGGTCCTTGAAACTGACCAAGTATGAAAAAGCTCTTTATGCTCACTTCAAGCAAGCCACAAAGGGCCTTTCCTAAAATTAAGTGTGTCCTGGAAGTTAAGGGAAGAACACAGGCACTCCTCACAGAAGCAGATGAGTTTTGCAAGGTTTAGGATTTTGATTCACACTGAAGGGCAACCCATTTGCAGATTCATTTGACTGCCACAGATGAAGAGCCATTGAATCCCCGGTTTCTTTTCAAGCCTTGAGAGACTTTTTTCCTTATTCTATGATGTATAAATTCACTCCCCAGGAAGAGGTCTTGATGGCACCATCCCACAGGGTTATGAATTATTCTAATTGCGGGTGGGGGGACTGCATTACGCCCCTTCCATGTGTTTCCATAATGTCACCTACAATCAGAATGAAGCCTGTGTGAGTGACACTGACAACAGGATGCCTGTCCTGGTGATGGCCGACTCATCAGACAAACCAAAGGAGTATCTCAGAGGAGGTTACTGGGAGAAAGTGAGAAAAGTACTGTGAAAGGAAAATATCTTGGGCCCCAAAATCACTAAGCTAAAAGGAAAAGTCAAGCTGGGAACTGCTTGGGCAAAGCTGCCTCCCATTCTATTCAAAGTCTCCCCTCTGCTCACTGAGATAAATGCATATCTGATTGACTCCTTTGGAGAGGCTTATCAGAAACAAAAGAATGCAACCATTTGCCTCTCACCTACCGGTGATGTGGAAGCCCCCTCCCTACTTTGTCTTCCTGCCTTTGCTTCAAGTTGTCCCGCCTTTCCAGAGAGAACCAATACTGACTGATGTCTCATGTCTCCCTAAAATGTATAAAACCAAGCCATGTCCCGACAACCTTGGGCATATGTCATCAGGACCTCCTGAGGCTGTGTCACACGTGTGTACCCTCAACCTTGGCAGAATCAACTTTCTACATTAACTGAGACCTGTCTCAGATTTTCTGGCTTTACCGTACCCAAGGACTTACCGCCAAAAGATGTAATATTCTTACAAATGGCCCTGGTCTGTCAATTCTTGGGAACCCCCTGGGGGAAGATTCTGGATTAAAATGGTTAGGTCTTTGTTTGCTTGCTGCTAGTTTTGGGGAGAAAGAGTTTTTCTTTTTTGTTTATTTCTGTCACCTCTTTCACTTGGGAATCTATTTTCACTGCTCTCCAAAGTTTTGAGAAGGTAATAGTTCTGGAAAATGGGTCCTGAGCTCCTCTCAGCAGTCCTGCTTCCTTTCCACCTGCACTGCAAGGTGACCCTAACTGGGTCTAAGACAAAAAGTAATTGACTTGTCTTTATTGGGAAAGGATTATTACTTAGTGATAAATCAAAGTATGTCTCTTTGATCCTTCTCACTCACCCTATCAGCTTGCTACCAGAGATAAAAAATAATAATAATAATAATAATTCACAAGCTATGATCTGGCCTTTTCTTCTCAGTGCATCAACTTCTGGCTAGGGGACTACAAGCAGGGAAGTATCTTCAAGGAAGCAGTAGGAGCCAGAATGAGGAGCTACAAAAGCAGCTAAACCATCCATCAAATAGACAAGCAGGTCCAGGAGAGCTGCCCAGAGGGCAAATTCTCACCATACCTGCACACTCTGCCCCGCCCGAGTTATCTTTTGCTAAAAGTTTCTCATTGTGTTCTGATCAAGAGGGCCCTTAGAATGGCCATCACCTCTCATGAATTCCCATCAAGCTGGCAAAAGTTGCCCATAGTGAGGAGAGCAGAGAAGTATCTGACCTGTGGGGATGCTGCTTAGGCTAAGGGGTGAGTTTTTGCATTAAAAACAAAACAGGTGGAGACTCATCTTGGGCTCAGAGCCACTGGCATTGTCATCACCTTGCCTGGCCTCCTGGCTCACTGAAGAAGCTCCTAATCCACCTCTAAGGTCTGCTGGTGTCCTTGAGCTCCTGAGTGTAGCAGATTTGGGGGAAAAAAAAATCAACAGGGAAAATGAAGTAGAAATGGGATAATTATTTTCTTGAACTAAAGGTTAATGGCTAAAATTTGCTAGTCATTATTACCTACACGAATGGAATGGAAAAGCATCTGGAGAAAAAACAATAGTGAAAATCCCCTTGTTCCTTTGTGATAATGCAAGGAGCTATGAGGAGGAGACCCTGCCAAGATTTTGGCTACAGGCTATTTGTTTAATATGAGTAAGAAGAGAAGAGGATGAATACAACCAAAATGAGGTTAAGGGACCATGTGGACATCATTAAGTATCGAGTTGGCAGGGGAAATAGCTAAATTAAATGCTTAGACTGAGAGGTTCTTGATGCTAATGTTGCTTTTAAGTGGTGTGGAAGTATTGAAAAACTATTTTCTACCAATAAATTGCTTTCTTCCATGTTGGGAAAACTCTCTCCCAGTGGCACCCACCCACACATTTCTTCCATTCCAAGCCAAAGGTTTTCTTTGCTAGAGGCAAAGGTACACCTTGCACAATTTCCTTCTAGGTTTGCAAACAGTCATGTCTGTATAAGAATCTCTTAGCACTACTCTAGTGGGGCTAGCCAGAACTGTGAGGTTGAGAATGTTCTTAAGGTTTTCCAAAAGTAACAAGGTTGCTATAGATTCAATTTCTGACCCCAGGAACTTGGCTTCCTTAAATCATTGGGCCTTGATTGTTCTTTTCAGGTTGAATCCCAATGATGGGTTAGGAAGACCTGGAAATGACGATGGCCAAATGGATTCCATCAAGGCAAATTTTAAGTTACAACTGTTTCAGAGTTCCTAAAATTAGGCTTGGCTACCGTATGGTACAACCGTGGTGAATGAAGAGAAGTCAATCTGGCTTTGATTAGTTCTAATTAATTGTGTTTTTTTTTAAGGGAATGAAAATGTTCATGGCAAGCAGCAATGGAGATTTTTTTTTTTTTTTTCTGAGACGGGGTCTTGCTCTGTCATCCAGGCTGGAGTGCAATGGCGCCATCTCGGCTCACTGCAACCTCCGCTTTGCAGGTTCAAGTGATTCTCCTGCCTCAGCCTCCTGAGTAACTGGGATTACAGGTGTGTGCCACCACGCCCGGCTAATTTTTATATTTTTAGTAGAGATGGAGTTTCACCATGTTGGTCAGGCTGGTCTAGAACTCCTGACCTCATGATCTGCCTGCCTCAGCCTCCTAAAGTGCTGGGATTACAAGCGTGAGCCACAGCGCCCAGCCGAGATTTTTTAAAGTAGCAATAATCCAAACATTTTCTCACTAGTAAGAACAGATTCACTTCATTGTTCTATATGTACCTGCATAGTCCTGTTCTGACAACATAACTGTCTCCCCAAGTTGTACAATTTTTTTTTTTAAGCAATGAGGTTTAGTCCTGTCATCCAGATTGGAGTGCAGTGGCACAATCACAGGTCACTGAAGCCTTGAACTCCTGGGCTCAAGCAATCCTCCCACCTCAGCCTCCTGATTAGCTAGGACTACAGGCTCCTGCCATCATACCTGTGGTTCCTTTTTTTTTCTGTAGAGATGAGATCTCATTATATTGTCCAGGCTGGCTTCATACTCCTGGCTTCAAGTGATCTTCCTACCTCTGCCTCCCAAGTAGCTGGGACTACAGGTATCCCCCACCATACGTGGCTCTGTACATATTATGAAGAAGAGCTATTCATCTCTAATACTAGGATGGATCTTCAAGTGGTAATATGTATGTATATATATGTATGTATGTATTCACATACATGTGGGTGAATTTTTGATAGAATAAGTTCAATGGATAATTATTTATCCAATTACTGAGTTATATATCTAATTGCTATAATTTTCTTGAATCTGTGCGAAACATCTATTGAAAGAAAATCTGAATATAAAGCTAACATATCACAATCAAGACAATATTGGCGAGTCTGGACTTATGGATCTATACAGAAGGTGGTATAGGGATGTTGCTTTTAATATCTAAATGGAGGTGGCGGACAGCTTTCCTTCAAGAAAACAAAACACTGAAAGACACAGAAAGGTGAGCTTCCATAATAGCAGCTCACACAATTGGAAGTTTGAGCCTTGAATAAACAGCAAAATCCTAGCTGAGGCCATTGGCCTCAACAACATACCAAGTACACCTGTTAGAAGCCACGAAAGAGAATGGAAAATTTATTTGAAAGGGCAAAACCCAACATTTTGTGTAATAAAATACTACCTGTTTAAATGCTCAGTGACTGCTTAAAAACCTATCACATTCCCTGCATAAGGTTTGCCCCTTGCTCAGTGCCTGAAGCATGTGCTTTCACACTGGGAAATGCCCCCGGAGAGGAGGACACTCACCCTGATCATCATCTCTCTCTCTATAATGCTGTCCTCCAGGGAAAACATTTCAGACACAGGTCTCTCCTTCACGGGCTCTTTTTTGACCCGCTCCTTCACGCTTGTCAGGTCGGGTTCCGAGATGGATGGGCCGAGAGAGGCCCCGTTGACAGCCGGCGGGTCGGTCCGGGACACGCTGATGGCCTTGGCCGGCCCGTGCCTCAGCACCCTGGCTCTAGCCATGCCGGGAGGAAGGCCGGGTTGGTCCTGCCTCAGAGCCCCATTGCTCACACTCTTCCTTGGGCCAGGGTACTCAGGCGGGGGCTTGTTGGGGATGCGGGCCAGGGCCGCCTGCAGCTGGGCGCTGTACTCCATCTTCTCCCGGAGCACGGGGATCTGGGGCACCGATTCTGGAGCCTCCTCCTCCTCCTCCTCGCTCTCGCTGCTGTGGATCAGCATGGTGGCATCAGAGAAGGTCTTCTTGTGGTGATACTGAGGGAGCTGGGGGACCTCGTGGCTGCCTGGCCCCTCCTCGGGTGGTCCCTGCTCCCGGAGCGTGTTGCGGCGAGCCATGGGGAGGTGGAGTGACTTGAGCGTCATGGCCTCCATGCCCCGCACCATGCTGTTCATCACCTCCAGGCTGTGGCGCTTGTTCACCGTGCCATGGTGCTTGGTGGCCGTAAGAGGCTCACTCACCTCCTGGAGAGACTGATGCACCACCGGAGAGCTGTCCTCTTGGAAGGTCTTTACCGAGAGCTGCACCTTCCGGGTCACCAGGTCTGGGCTGCTGCCACTGACGTACTTGTGGCGGTGGCTGGCCAGGTCTGGGGTGCTGGTGGCAGGTCGTGGCCGTGGGTAGGGGGGCGGTGGCCTGAAGAGATAGTTCTTGAGCATGTGGGCCGTGCTGTAGTTATGGTTGCCCTGCAGCTGCATGTTGGCCAGCTCTGGGGTGCTCACCGTGTGCGAGATGGCGCTTGCCCCCGGCTTGCTTGGTACCACATTATTCTTTGGGTTCCTCTGGTCAGATGGACTGACAAGCTTGTTGCTATAGACCCCTTGTGGCCCATAAGGGACAGTGTAGGGGTGCCTCTCCCGCATCTCTGGTTGGCTGTACACCAGATCCTCTGGCTGGTTATAGGCATGGGTGTTGATGATGTTGAGGTTTCTCAGAGACTGGCTCTGGCTGTCTGTATGCAGTATCCCCCTCTTCATCTGGCGCATGACTGTCTCATAATCGGGGGTTGGCCTGTATGAGGGCACGATGATCGCACTGTGCCGGTGGCTCGGGATGTAGTCGGCCCGCATGATGTCACTCCCAGGGATACTGAGGTTGGAGGATACAGGGGAGGCCTGGATGAAACTTTGCGAGCAGTTGAGGGAGTTGACGCTATGAACGCTACACACGCTGCCATTGGTGACGGTGCCATTTAAATAATTTAAGTCCAGGCTGTTGTGAGAGTTGCAATACAAGGCTTCTTCATTCCCATGAAAAATGCTGTCTACGAGAAGTCAAACAAAGGCACGTGAACCTCCAAGCCATCCTGCCACAACAAAGTACATCCTCATACTCATGAGCTGACTTTTAATTTAAATAAGTCATAAAAAGTGAAATCCCATGGTCTCCACCCACATGTTCTACAGAATAACGGATACCATCTTGGATGAAATGCCAACATACAGAAAGAACACCTTAAGACGTATTGAAAAGAAAACGGGAACCTAATGGAAGAAGGCATGCACACATTTGGAGTAAGTGTCACTTCGGGAAGTTCTCAATTTTACCATAAGCTTTAAAATCAGGCACCAACAACCGCCCTCCAGTTGGGGAGACTTGTCCTCTTGTGCAGGGCTCAGCAATAGGACTGAATATTTAGACCAGACAGTCCAGAACTTTAATAGGGCAATAGATTTCAATTACTAAGTATTTAGAGCTGCTCTTCCTGACGGCAGTGGAAAAAGCCCCTTCACCCAGGGGACTGCTGGGCATTCTAAAGGCGCAAAACAAATGATGTAGCCAGGATGTCAGCACAGCTAGTTCATCCTGAGCAGCAATAAAGGCCAAAATTAGAATCAAGAGTTCTTTTCGGTAATTTCCCAAATCCCCTCTAGATCTGGTTTCATCACTTAGGGTCAATTCAAGTAAAAATTAATTATAGTTTAAAGAGGTCCCTAAAGAGAGAAAAAGCAGATTTCTAAAATCAGGCCCATTCTAGGTGTCCGATGTTCTCTTACACACACACACACCCCTCCAAGGAAGGCAACCTCTTGCCTTTCTGTGGCCAAGATATATTCATTTTTTCACACTACAGATTTAAACATGAGCAAAACAGATAAGCATAAAATCAGAGAAGGTGAAAAACAGAAAAGGTGACTGAAGACATTCAACTGTCTGAAGAGGAGGAGTGTGTAAAGAGATCTGATCAGATAAGACAGGCAGAAAAAACAGGGGGACACAGAGACAAATGTGCCGCAATTTATCCGCCTCCTGTGGGGTTTGGTGCCTTCCCATAGAAATGTGGTAACTTTGCTAGTCTCCTTATAAAAAGTACTACTTTTATTAAATTAAATAGTCTTGACTGTCTTGGTTTTCATGCTCACACTTTCAGAGAGCAGAGGATTCAAAATGGCCAGGAGTTGATAACATAGAAACTAATTATCCATTTACTACATTTCCAACATCCAAGGTTTTCTACCATCTCTCTTTTTGAAATGCAGTTAGCATAATGATTACGAGTTACCGATTTTCATATCTAAGTTCCATCATTAATCTCTCTGTATTCCAATTTCTATAACTGTAAAATAGAAATAATAATAGTACCTACAGGTTTATTTTAAGGATTACATGAGACAATATATAGCAAGTACTTACAGCAATACCACAATTGCTCTATGAATGTTAGCTGTTATCATGAAGTCATTACTAAAAGAAGCTTTTTCACACATTTTGCATGGGAGATGTTTTGGGAGAAAGAGAGGAATAGAACAGATTTACCTTACTCTGAGAAGAAAAAAGCAAGTGTACCAAGAAAGGGGCTGGAGAAAGAGATGAGAAAAACAGCTAAAAGAAAAGGCTGACTTTGTTTATTTCTTCCAATTATTCTGCATGCCCATGTTCTATGTCACCATGAAAACCTGAGTGACTGCCACAAGTTTTCGGATACTGGCAATGAAGGTGAAGTGCATTCACTTGGGCTGAGCTGTCAAACTCTCTTCTCTAAGCTCCCTTAGGAAAGGGAGGAGAAAAGGACTTGCTTGCTGCCTTGGCCCGGACTCCCTGAGCAGCCAATACTGGGGAACTTTTTTGATCAGAGGTAACTGATAGTCTAGGCCATCCACAAATTGAAGTTGTTAGCTACTGTCATTCAGATGAGGACAAAGTTAAAAAGAAAGCATCCCTGTCATCTTTTTTTTAAAGGCTTCTTTACTGCTTACTGGTATTCAACTTTTTGTCTTAAGAAGAGAGAACGGCAAGCCAGAGTTACCTTGCGAGGTGTGCGTTTCCGAGTAGTGCTCACCACACTGGACGTGAACGGGAGGCAGGATGTACGGCTGCTGCCTGGGCTGAAACAGAGAACATAGAGGAGGTGGGGAGGCCTGGCAGACACGGCCGATGACTCACACAGCCAGCCCGGGCACACGGCAGTCCCGCCACGTCGTCAGGGAGGCTCGTGGCAGCCACTGTCCCTGCCACCCCTTTGACTCAACCTTCTTCTACCCATCTGCACTCCCATCTCATCACTAAGTTTGGAACTGGAGAAATGGTAAGAGAGAAATGAAGTTGGTTCAAGATCAGAAAGAGAAAGAGGTTACCATCAAAGACTAAATGTAACCATTTACTATACATGTTCTAGTATACTTGCAAAGTTCCCTATGCCTTCTTTCACAAGAATAACTTAGAAAAGGTAAATTATTCAAGGCAGGCAGACTGACTGAGCTCAGGAGTTCAAGACCAGCCTGGGCAACACAGTGAAATGCCATTTCTATTAAATATACAAAAATTAGCCAGGCATGGTGGCACATGCCTGTAGTCTGAGCTACTCGCGAGGCTGAGGCAGGAGAATCACTTGAACCCGGGAGGTGGAGGTTGCAGTGAGCTGCGATCACGCCATTGCACTTCAGCTTGGGCAACAGATTAAGACTTCGTCTCCAAGAAAAAATAAATTAAAAAATTATCTGGGCATGGCGGCGTGCACCTGTAGTCCCAGCTACTTGGGAGGCTGAGGTGTGAGAGTCGTTGAGCCTGGGAGGCGGAGGTTGCAGTAAGCCAAGATCATGCCACTGCACTCCAGCCTGGCGACAGAGCGAGCCTCCATCTAAAAAAAAAAAAAAGGAAAAGAAAGAAAGGAAAGAAAAAGAAAGGAAGGAAAGGAAAGAAAAAGGAAGGAAGAAAGAAAGAGAAAGTAAATTATTATAACCCATCTCAGAAATGAGAATAAGAGGGACACCTGTTTTGTTCTCAAAATTCCATTCACAAGCTCCTACACATCAGCAGAGCTGTGCCTGAGATCCCAGTTCACAGCTCCACATCAACCTTCAATAGGAACAGGGTTAGTGTTAAGCTGAGCCCAGGGTGAATCTATTTAAATATCTCAAATGCGGCCCACAACGAGTGCATAGCTCTCCAGACCACTTGCTGACCTTCCCCACTGCAGAACCAAGGGTGGAAAGGGCCCTGTCTACCCGCCACCGCGGTGCAGAATCTTTTCCACAGTCTCTTAAAGATGGCTATTTAGACTGAACCTAAATAACTTCATGCTGCGGAAGAGGGACAAGTTTTCAGAGAAACAAAACAAAACAAAACAAAAGCACAATATTTGGTGAGCCAACAAAGGAACGACGGTTATGCACTAATGTAATCTAGAGCAAGCCATTTAACTTCAGTCAGTCTCAGTTTCCTGTCAGTCAAATCAAGCTCTTCCCTCCCCTACCTCAAGTATTATCCATTTTATTTATGTATTGAGGTTCCAGGTAAGAATTTGTTTGAAGTAAGAGTTTTGATTTGCAGGGGAAAAAAATCTTCAAAACTCTTAAGCTTGTAAGCCACCAAACAAAATAATATCTTATATTTCTTTTTCCTGAGACATTGTCTCACTCTATTGCCCAGGCTGGAGTGCAGTGGCACAATCTTGGCTCACTGCAACCTCCGCCTCCTGGGTTCAAGAGATTCTCATGCCTCAGCCTCCCTAGTAGCTGGGATCACAGGCGCTGCACCACCATGCCCGGCTAGTTTTTGTATTTTTAGTAGAGACGGGGTTTCACCATGTTGGTCAGGCTGGTCTTGAACTCTTGACCTCAGGTGATCCACCCGCCTTGGCCTCCCAAAGTGCTGGGATTACAGGTGTGAGCCACTGTGCCCAGCCAATCTCTTATATTTCTATTAGCCTTATAGATTTTAAAGGTTACTATTTTGAGAGAAGAATCTGAGATCAAACCAAGAAACCCAAATCCAGCAGGGGTCACACTTTCTCAGCATCCCTCAATGGAAGAAACACCGGCCAAGAGCTTGAAGCTGGGTGACTAACTCACCTATATTTTCTCTGACACAAACAATGCTTGATCTTCAAAGTGGCAATAAAAAAAGGGATCCAAGAATTAAAAGGAATCAAGACAGAAGAAATGAAGAACTGAAATCAATCTAAGAAAGCAGTTCGGGCTACCAAAGAAAAGGGGCTATATTCCCAAGTCTCCCTTTGGCTGATTTTTGAGTTGCAATTTAAAAATATTTTTCCTTTTCTTGGCAATACATAATTCAACTCAAGTTTTCCATGGTAGCACAACCATTTTCAGGCTTTAAAGAAAAACACAGTGGGGAGGGATCTGTACAAGGGAAGAGAAATACACCGCAAGGCAAAGTGGGTTTACTGTCTTTACTTGCCTTATTTAAAAAAATCTAATAAGTAAGTTACGGTTTATGAACTGACATAAATGAGCAGACTTACGCCAGTTCACAAACAGCATTGTCAAAGGACAATAATAGCTAATCCCTCAAACATCATTTCAGGATTTTATTATTTATTGCATCTCTTTATATATTCTAATTCATTATTCCATTTCTTTCCAGACCTGCTAATAGAGAAACAAATTTGATGCCAAAATATAGACAGAAGAGGGCAGGTGAAAAACAGCAATGAGAAGTTCTGGTTATCAGCAAGGAAGCCAAGAGACAATGTTATCTGGTCTTACTCGCTCATTGTAAGAAACTCTTGGTGTAATGGTTTAAGCCTAAAGGACAGGAGAAAGAGGGAAGCCATTAATTGGATCAGACTTCCTATAAACTGTCTTCATCTGAATAAAACAGGTAAGCCTCTGCATCCTCTCTGGATATGAGGACAAGATAAGATCACAAGAGAGCTTTCAAACACTTTGCCTCCCATAGGGTTTCAAGGGTGTAAATGAAAAATTATTTTGCTAATAAAGACATCTATACTCTAAAGAAGGGAAAAGGAAGATAACATTCATAAAGGAGAAGAATAAAGAAATCAGTGCCATGAACAAATCTATTGGTACTCCGGGAAAGCCCAAGGTATCTCTTAGATCTCCAGGGCCCAGGACCACATGTGAGGTATTGTGCATAATATTGAGAGAAATAATATTCTCACAGGCACTCAGGAATTACTGGGATGTCATAATGGCTCAACTCAAGAATTCAAAGAGTCCACATCTAAGCATTTTCCAGAAAATATTTTTTTTCTCAAAACGTTCCCTTCAAAAGACAAGTTAAAAACATGCTATCATGTATACATTGAATATGAAGAAAAACTTAATTGCATTCTATCAACTTGAAGGAATTGTTGATCTAGAGAAGTTCAAAGGTCATATGTTTATTTTGATTTTGTGTAAAAAACCATAACCTAAAATAAAAGAATTGTGAGTTAAAACAAGCAGAAAACATTAAAGGAAACCAATTCTTAACATCTGTTATCCTTGAGTAATCCTCAAAACATAGCCTAAGACAGAACACATGCACTGAAATTAATTGTTTCCTTATTCACATGATGAGGAGAGCAACTTAAAACAAACAAAAAAGCAGCGGCTAAAGCTAGATCAATTCAAACTCTGCTGGCTAATTAAAGCCTAAAATTATGGAAGTGCTTTGGAAATCTGATTTTTTTTAAAAGGCCTAAAATTAGGAACTATGCAATCGATTTTCCCCATCAGATACTCTGCCTGAGACCATCAACCAGATCCGTTCAGTTTTTGCTCATTTAGAAGGCATTTTCTCACTAGTTTATCAAGCTCTCTCTATGGCAGTGAACACAAAAGAATTTGTGGGGCTCATAACTGAAGATGTATCTTCACACAACAACCAGAACAGATAAGCACGGGGATGAAAACACACCATGGGCTGTATGCTGATGGAACATGGTCCCACAGGCCTGGAATAAGACCTACTCTCAGGGTAAACCCTCAGCCTCAGCCACACTTAAGAGTAGTGGTGGGCATGGATGGATCCAAGGGGGACAAAATGGGTGTGCATCACACCTGCTTGACAGAATGATGCCTCTGTGTTCTCACAAAATTTCACGTCCTCATGATGCCCTCATCATCCCCCTGCCTCAAATTAACAACAAAGAATGCTCAACAGTCAGATCACTTGATCACTGCAGCTTCTATACATACCAGAGAGGACCGGCTCCAGGTGGGCTGGCGTCTGATGGGGGGTGGAGAATTTGACTGTCTACATGAAGAGGTGAAAAAATGAGAATGGTTATTATTATTGATATAAAAAGACCAGATAGACAAGGGAGGGAGAGGAAGTAAATCAACAAGATTGGTAATCGTTACATCAAGACATAAACATGGCTTATTTCCGGTGGTAACAATAAGAACAATCTTGATTTCCTTTGTTTTTCTTTATTTTCAAAATGTTCAGATAGATACTTTTAGAATAAGTTTTACAAAGTAATATTAAACAAATGGAGGCTTATTTCTATAGAAAGACTGAGGGAAATAAGCAAGACTGAAAAATGTCACATTACATGGATTTTTAAAAATTGTACTCTTTCTACTGTTGTATATATGTAAAATCCTTCATAGTTTTTTTAAAAAATGCAAGGAAAAATATTTTTAAAATGCTTCCAGTCAAATGAAAATACAAAATAGATACAATATTTTCAGTGTGACCATATAAAAGGTACTTTTTATTAAGATAATACATTTTACAAACATTTATCTGATCAGATATTTTCCAGACTAAGAATCAACATATTTTTTACTGTAGAGATTAAAAAATGAATTGGAAGTATTAGCAAATTCTTGAGAGTTGAAATCAAAGATGCCTTCAAGCCATGGGTCCCAAATGCTATAATATTTTCCCTCATTCTCAGTGCTACCATAAAACAAACAAACAAACAAACAAAAAAACCAGTTTTTTTATTAGGGTAAGTTCTTCAATTCAAAGGACTCTCCTTATTCTGAGATTTCATCCTTCCTACTTTTTTGGTGATAAAATATATTTTATGAAATGATAGAGGCAATATAGCAATGGTGGATTTTTAAACGACTGGCTAAATAATACAATATTATCAGACCTATGTTATATATACTGCCCCCTAATTTTTCTCCCTATATCAAGAAATTGAGGAGCCACTCAACAGAGCTATACCTCCAGACGACAAGCAGCAGCTCTGCAGGAGCAGAAAAATCAGTAACGATCTTTTAGAGGTCAGAGAGTCTCGCCCTCTGGAGAAGGACGCTGCTGTGTGTGCGTGGAGAAGGACGCTGTTAAGATTATGCCAGTTCACAGAAGTCCAGAGGGATGCCCCAGGCCATAACATCGTGCCGGGATGCTGAACTGCATATGGAATTTAATGGGAGTGTGTGTGTGTGTATAATTTTGAGAGTGTGCCCCAGGTTTTAATCAGGTAAGAGGTTAGGAACCTCTTATACTCGGTTAGGAAGAAGAAAAGAATGGTTATTACAGAAGCAGAATTGAGAAACAGAATTTCTTCTTAGTTTTCAGACTAATATGTGATGTTCACTAACACTGGAAGAAAAGACCACACACACACACACAAAAAAGCACTCCGTAAATTTGATAGTAAAACCATTTGCTGAGCTGTGCTTAAATCAGGAGACGAGAGTAAAATCCAGTTCTCAGTTTTTAAATTCACCCTAGAGAAGTCAAGGATAGCATTCTTGCTCATGTCAAAGATACCCCGAGAAGTCTAAGGCAACCGCAGAGTAGAAATACACAGAAGTGACCTATCAGGAACCTGCTCAAGAGAATGGTGTGGTGGGGCACATGGGAGAATGTGTCTGGAAGAAACGTACAGCCGCTTCACTTGCCACTCCCCGATCAGGCCTTCTTCTGATTTACATTTGCAAACCAAGCGGGTAGGCCTAATACTATCAGACATACTTTCAGACCCCGACAGTGACCAATTGCAGTGACTGGCTTGAAAGAGCCTCCGTGGTGTGGAGAAAAAAGTCTGCCATGACCTGGCGCTCCAGCTATAAAGCGGCCGCGTTCTTCAGCAGGAACTTCTCTAGGACAATACTCTACATACTCTCGGATGTGTCCACTGTGGGAGTGGAAAAGCAGTTCTTCTCTTGCATTTATAACCCTGACGCTCTTTGAAACAAAATTAAACACATTGGGCGCCCAAACCGCTGAATGTATTCGGCTGAGGAACGTCTTTTGAAGGTAACCAAGAAAAAGACAACGATAGAGTGAGCCCCAGCACGCTCCATCTGAGGTCAGGTCGCATTTAAGTGCCCTCATCACACGCCTCTTTATCATCTTTATTTCCAAATTAAATTAAAAAAATACACACGGATTTGTGACACCTATGAGTGTCTTCCACATCTTCCTCTAATTACCCTGGCCTCTCATTTACAGTCAGATGACATGACCCAGGAGAACGCGCAGGGTTAGCCAACTGTGCAAGCGACACGGGGCTGAGGATGACAGGAGCGTCTTCTCTTTCAAGCTAGCTCGTCACTCTGTTACCCACTTCTGAACACACTCCGCGTCTGACACGAAGGGGCACCCTGGCAAATTGGGAACTGCTCTGCTTCTCCAAACTCCTAGCAGAGGGTTGGAAAGGCGCTAATGCGGGCCACCCCATCCAGGCAGCCAAGCATTCACAGTCAATTTGTGAATTATTCTCTCTCTGGGCATATGCACTACACTAGACAGTCTTCATCATTAACGTTTTCATTCCTGCCCTGGCTTTAGCTTACTTCTTTAGCTTCTGCAAGGAACAAGGAAAAAGAGTGAATAGGAAAAGCAACCTACAGCACCCCAAAAAGACATTAATTTAGTCTGATAAAGCCATCCCGTTGAGGGGGGGGGACTAAATGTTTACTTACTCAGTGCAGATTTTGTTTTGTTTGTAAAACTTGTGTCGTGTGGCAAACAACCGAGAAATATACTTGGCATTTTCGATATCATCCTTGGAAAAGAAGAGACAGAGAAAAAAATAAACATTAGTTGAATTAGTTATACATTTCATTAAGATTCTTCTGAGGAGGGACACATCCCTTCCAACCTTCATCTCAAGCACAAAATAATACATGGGCCAGCAAAGTAAACCAGCCTGCTGAATTTCAGCAGCAGCTATGCCTACAAAGCCTACCAAAGAGTGGCAGAACATGCCGTCTGCCAAGGAATCCCTATGTCCAAAGTGCTGGGGTTACACTGATGAACCGGCATGTCTTTACGTAATTCCCGACCAAGCGCTTTCAAAATAAATAACTGAATCAAGGCACAGCATAGAATAAACACCAGACTTCATTAAATAGGAGGCAGTGAGATGCCTTGGCTCTCGAGGAGGCACTTAACAGAAGGTCAGTAGCTTAGCTTACTTCAGATTAAGCTTGGGCTACGATGGGAAAGAAAACTCAGGTCCGCCAGCAAATGCAAATGGAATGCAATAGAAGAATCAGGGGTCACTAGATGAGGGCTGTAACTAGAGTGCTGAGGAAGGCGGCACGCCAGACAATGTGATCCATCACACATAAGGCAGGTGGAGGGACCAGAGTCCTAGAGTCAAAAGTCAGCTTGGAAACCCTGTATTGTATTTTATTTTATTATTTTATTTTTTGAGACGGAGTCTCGCTCTGTTGTCCAGGCTGGAGTGCAGTGGCACGATCTCAGCTTATTGCAACCTCTGCCTCCCGGGTTCAAGCGATTCTCCTGCCTCAGCCTCCTGGGACTACAGGCGCCTGCTACCACGCTCGGGTAATTTTTGTATTTTTAGTAGAGATGGGGTTTTGCCATATTGGCCAGGCTGGTCTCGAACTCCTGACCTCAAGTGATCCACCGGCGTCGGCCTCCCAAAGTACTGGGATTACAGGCATGAGCCACTTTGCCTGACCGGAAACCTGGTATTTTAAACATGGGTATTTCATCATCACTATCCTGGAATGAGTAATGATAGCATTGACCAAGTATTAGAAAGCATCTCTTCAAGAGAATATTTACTATTTCAAGATAGGGACAGCAAGGAAAGGACATGAGGAGTTGAAAAGTCCAAAAGCCAGTGTCTTGTCAGACCCTGCCTCTGTTTGTCTGTTTTGCTTACCGTGTGAAAGAGGGCAGTCTCTTCTTTGTTGATGAGCTCCACCAGAATGGTCGACTTGTTATGAGTGATATTCCCCATGTCATTCCACCTGGTCAAAAGAAATGTCACTGTGAAAGATGTTCCAGGCATTTACGACACAGCAGAGGAGGGCTGTTTGCTGCTATCGAGTCTCATTTTTACAAACTATGATTTAACTATTTTTAAGTGAAATGTTCTTGCAAAGGATAAAAGTAAAGAAAATGCAGCACGTATCCATTCAAATAGCTAAAAATTCTACATAACATATGTCTAGATATTGCTATTTATAAATTATAGTTTTCTTTGTGACTAGCAATGAGGAAAATCTGCAAGGGACTTTTGCTTCCCCCTCTCCCACTTTTTTCACATTTCCAAAGGGACAAAATATTTCCCATGACCACCACTTTTTAATGATGGAGGAGCATATATTATTAAAACGTCATGTGTTTCCAGGAACCTAACCAGAAGAATCCACATATTCTGTATTGCAGTATGCACTACAGATTCATGATGCCACCTAAGAAAAAACGCCTGTTGAAGCAGGAATGACAAGAGAGATCTTTCAGGCTATAGAATAAACTTTTTGACTTTTGGACTTAGTGTCAGCTCCATATGCCGGCCACTAAGTATACATCAATTGTCTGTTTAATGTGCCTACACTTTTGGGAACATACACACATACACACACACAGAGTTTCCTTCCCTGTCTTCATGGAGACCTTACCTAAAATGAGATACACCAAAACAAGCACCAGATGAGGAAAGTTAAGCTACTGCTTCCCACCCTACTTGGAACCAATTTCTAACCATCTTTTACCACTACCTACCCTTCACCTGGTGCCCCAACCTATAATTCCCTGCCACCACTTTTTCACTCATATGATGCATCTGCTCATTAATACTTCTACCATCCTCTGTTTGGACAATAACTTTGAGACTCAGCTCTGGGAGTCACCTTCTCTAGGAATCCCTTCCTAATATCCTCCCTACCCACACGTGAGGAGAAGAGCCTGCTGCAGTCCCCTACCAGTCACCACATTGCATTACAATTTTTACTTCTGTGATGAGATCTCTAAGGAGACCAAGTAGACCACAGGCCCCATACCCAATGCAGGGATTCTGCCTTCTTCGTGTCTGTGTTCCAAGCACTGAATCGAGTATCTGGCACACAGCACTCAATAAATGTTTGCTAGAAGAATAAAAAGCAATAATGTTGCCTCTCAGCTGTATACAATCCGATTCTTACATCAAATCTCTATGGCAGCTATTTTTGCTCCTACTTTAAAAATGAGGCAATATAGACACAAATAAGTACCTGACTTAACAAGTTTACTCTGTACATCAGGGATGGATGAGTTCTTTACTTGGGGTTTCCAGCCTTTCCTCCAGTCATCATTCCCTTATACCAGTACCAAATGTTTTTAGGTGCCTCTGCTGGGGCAATACTCTCTACAAGTGCTGCACCCAGCTTGCTTCGCAACCTACAGTTCTATCAGATTACATCTACATGGACTCACAGCTACATGCTCCTTAGTGAAGGTCTCTAGAGATAAGAGATATTTGGTTTCGTCTGGCTTCACTCCTTCAAATCAACTGCTGAAATCCTAGATACACTTGGAGCCCCACCGTATGACTTCATCTAGTGGTATAATTAACATGACGCTATAGTAGATGTGAATTCTCATCTCGTAGTGGTTTCAAGATAAATGAAAAGGGCCGGAAACAGTTTCTAAGGAAACTAAGCATAACCTGTGAGTGGCTTATGCTCATGAAATTTCCAAATTGCAATTTTCTTCTCTTTCACTTCAACAGCTGGTGTGCAAGACTTGTGTACTTATCTGCTGTGCTGTAGGTTCAAAGAGAAACTGAAACATCATTTTAACTATGGAGAATTTGTAGGACACAATGCCTGGATAGCTTTGAATGGGTATAAAAATTTATAGTTACAACTCTGCACATATTTACATATTTTCCTCAATTAATTTATACTTTGTGGCAGATATATAGAGCTGACACTAAGTCCAAAAGTCAAAAAGTTTATTCTATAGCCTGAAAGATCTCTCTTGTCATTCCTGCTTCAATAATGTCTCTATTTAGAGGGCAAGAGAATATCATAAAAACAATGACAGAGTGGGGATCTAGGAAAATAAAAGCCTATCAGGAAGCTTTTGGTTAGAAAATTGTCTCAAAATGGCCCTGGATCAGTTGCTGATCCAGAGAGTACATGGCCAGTTAAGAGTCACTTCCAGAAGGTGGGCTATGCCTGCCTCCAAGAGCTATCTTTGATAGTGTGCCCTGGATACACAGATCCGCCTATCAGACACACATACAAGACAACTGTTCTTCCAATCATGGGCCATGCTGCCCTTGTAAATGAAAGCTAGAACACAGTTTATCAGATCGTTGGCATTATGATAAAATCTATGAGCACCAATACAAAGCAAGCATATTGATGTGAAATGCAGGAGGAGATGGCTGCATCTCTACACTGGTACCTTTCCTGATAAATGGAAAAGAGGACTGAAGTGTCAAAATAATTAAAAGTACCAAAGCCCCCTAATTCATCATAATAAATAGATTACTTTTTCAAAACACATTTTTAAAAATAATCGCCTTTTGTTCACATAAAAATCAGTTTGCACTCTTGTGGCACAGGTGGTTCAGAACAATGGAAAGAAGTGTTTAGATTTAATGACTGACTGGAGAGCCAGTTTTCAACCAGACTCACGAAGTTTAGTTTCACCCTTGTAACTCAATAGGGTTTAACAATGTATTTCTTGGAGTCAGGTGGGAAGGGTTTCTACGAAAAGTGAGATGAATTTTACGCTTAAATCCTGCAGAGGGCTCACCTTATATGAGCTGAGAAAAATCAAATCTTATCCACTGTTTGGCTCTTAACTCATTTGGATGTTAATATAACATTAACATTACAGTCCCTCAAGGTGAAAAAGAAAAAAGAAAAACAAACAAACAAATAAGACTACCTGTGTATTACTGCTTGTCTTCCAATTCTGTTCCTCACGAAAATCCCCATAAAGAAAATGCCAAGGTGTACACAGTTTCCATGATTGTCCTGGGTTAAGACCAACAAAAGATACTTGTGATGACTCATGTTCACAGCAACATTAGTCACAACAGCTAAGAAAGATATGGAATCAACCTGAGTGTCCATCCACCAATGAATGGATAAAGAAAATGTGGTACATGCATACAAGGGAGTACCATTCCGCCTTAAACAGAACAAAATTGGCATTTGCCACAATACAGATGGAATTGGAGAACACAATGCTAAATGAAATAAGCCAGGTACAGAAAGACAAATAACACATGTTCTCACTTATACGTGGAATCTAAAAATCTGAACTCATAGAAGCATATAGTATAATGGTGGTTACCAGAGGCTGGAGAATGGGAGGAATGGGGAGAAGATGGTCAAAGGAAATAAAGCCTTGTTAGACAGGAGGAGTAAGTTCAATATATCATGGTGACCATAGCATAGTTAGTAACAATATATTGGTGTTTTGTTGTTGTTTGTTTTGAAACAAGGTTTCACTGTTGCCCAGGGTGGAGTGCAGTGGCATGATTTTGGCTCACTGCAGCCTTGACCTCCTGGGCTCAGACAATCCTCCTACCTTAGTCTCCCAAGTAGCTGGGACTACGAGCAAGCGCCACCATGCCCCACTAATTTATTTATTTATTTATTTATTATTTATTTTTACAGACAGGGTCTTGCTATGCTGCCCAGGCTAGTGATCCTCCATCCTCAGCCTCCCAAAGTGTTGGGATTACAGGTGTGAGCCACTGTGCCCAGCAACAATGTATTGTATTCTTAAAATCACTAAAGAGTAAATTTTAAGTGTTCTAACCACAAAGAACTTACTCCTCCTGTCTAACAAGGCTTCATTTCCTTTGACCATCTTCTCCCCATTCCTCCCATTCTCCAGCCTCTGGTAACCACCATTATACTATATGCTTCTATGATTTTAAGTGTTCTAACCACAAAGAAATATGTGAGGTAATACATATGTTAACTGGTTTGATTTAGCCACTCCACAATATACACATATTTCAAAACCCGTAGGCATCACATCCCATTTTTTTTTTTTTTTTTTTTTTTTTTGAGACGGAGTCTCGCTGTGTCTCCCAGGCTGGAGTGCAGTGGCGTGATCTCGGCTCACTGCAAGCTCCGCCTCCCGGGTTCACGCCATTCTCCCGTCTCAGCCTCCCAAGTAGCTGAGACTACAGGCGCCCGCCACCACGCCCGGCTAGTTTTTTGTATTTCTTTTTTAGTAGAGACGGGGTTTCATCATGTTAGCCAGGATAGTCTCGATCTCCTGACCTCGTGATCCACCCGCCTCGGCCTCCCAAAGTGCTGGAATTACAGGCTTGAGCCACCGCGCCCGGCCTGCACATCCCATTTCTCACCCATGAGTAGAACGAATCATAGACAACATCATAGCAATAAAGTGAACAGCTGTGTTGGGGTCAGGTCCTACAGGAACTCACCCACCACACATCCTAGTGGACTATATATAGAGAGAGAGAGATTTTTTTTTTTTCCTTTTTTCTCAATTTGTCACAACACATTTCCATTTTAAAAGAGAATCTCTGGATTTTCTCAGATTCATTGGGATTTGGATTCTCTCTTTCATGAACATCTATTAATGTCTTTTATTTTTTAACCTTACCAAAGTTCTTGTTTTTTAAATCATTATACATGTAAGAGTTTGAAGAGTTGAATATCCTTGAGGGCTTGCTTAAAGGAAGCCAAAAGCAGACCTAGACCTACCACTTCCTCGGCCCAGAGGCTGAAACTTTCACCTCTTAAAGCCCTCAATGTGTCCCTTTGCAGCTCTCATCTCTGGCCCTTTCAGTGCAGAACGTCCCATTCCTCAGTGAAGGGATATTTTCTCGAATAATTACCTTTTGTTTCCTTTGTTCACTCTTTTTAGAACTCCCATTATTGAAATATTGGACATTCTGGACAGGTCCTCTAATTCTTTTATCTCCCGTCCCCGACTTACCATTACTTTGTTTTTTGGTGAGACTTTCTCAGTTTTATCTTCTAACCTGTCTATTAAGTTGTATACTTCTGATATCACATTTTTAATTTCAGAGTTCATTTTTGTTTTCTAAATGCATCTTTTTGTAAGTACCTTATTCCTTCAAGGAGGTAAAATTAAAAAAAAAAAAAAATCCTGAGGCTCACTGAATAGTATTTTGAGCAGGGGGTTCTTCTTCCTGTACAACATCTGCATCTGCCAGTCAGTCCACTGCTGTTCTTATGATGTTGATCTCTGTCATTCCTAGAAGGACACTGTGTAGAGTGATGCTTGACTGTCTGTTCGCATTTGAGAATCGGATGCTAAATGCTGGCTGGGAGCTCTCTAAGCACAGGAGGGGCTTATGGACTTCACTGGTGGGTGATCTGTTGAGCCCTGTCTTGGGGAACCCCAGATGTCATATTCTTATCTTCAGTCTGGCCCCTTGGTCCAGTCAGGTGCTTCCAATCTCCTGTCTGGGAAAGCATCACCTGGCTGCCAGGGTTCTGAGAGCGGAGTGGGAACCAGATATCTAGTGGACAAACTGTCAGTCCCTTAAGTGAAATCCTGCTTTCCCATGGGGGAGGTCTTCTTTCTGGAGCAAGAGTGGGGCCACGCACAACTAGAACTAAGATGGAAAAGAAGGACTTCTACATTCCCTAGAATACTTGATCCCATTTAAGGTACAAAGAAGGCAGGGACCTCTTCTCAACTCACCCTCTAAAACTTACATTCAAATAAGAGTCTTCTAACAGAGACAGAGAAAGAGTACAACCCCTGTTGGTCACAAAGCAAAAAGAGTGTTGAGAGACAATGAACCGGCAAAGACAAAAGAGAACTGTCCCATAATGCTGATTCCAGGAAGTTGAAAAGTTAACAGGAGGTATATGTGAGAAAAGAAGATAGGAGTGGAATTAGAAAGAGAAGGGGAATTCTGCAGAAAGATTTCCCTGGGCACTTTACCTCCAGAACTGTAGGGATGCGGATAAGGGAAGAGTTATTCACCAAGATGGGGCAATGGCAAAAGCACAGCAGGGGTGCCTCTGGAAACCACTCTACCCAGTGCGCTGGGGACACTGCACTGGTCAAAGCTTAAGGGCTCTAAATCCAACCTAGCAATGGATAAAGGCTCCAGACTCTGTATTACCCATCCCAGAAGCACCCTTTGCCATGCCTATGTGCTCTGACAATACAGGACTGACTCAGGCAGTGCCCATACCTGTATCTGCGGAAGGAGGGGCAGACTTGTTGGGAAGTTGACTGGTCTTCTTCTACTCTTGAAAATTTTTGAGGAACCACTCATGGAAAAGCCCATGCTAAATTCATGTATTTTTCCTAGGATATATCATGACATGCTTTTATTTTGTCAACAAGAACCTGTACCAATCAAAAGAGAATCCAGTCCCACTCACAGCCTTTCCCTGCATATTTTCTTGTCTGCTTTTTTACTCATTGCAGAGCTGACCACATCACCACCCCCATTGGTACTGTTGCTCCCACCCCCATCCTTGGGTCACCAGGAATCATGCGGTCTATAGATGGTCACCTTAGATATGCACAGGTATGTGGGGAGAAAGAGGAAAAAGAGGTAGTGCAGCTCAGTTACCTGAGCTTGGCAATGAGTCAGAAGCGCCTATCTTCCAACTCAGAGGAAGGTATTATAACCCTTGTCGGTCCCACTAAAGAAAGAACATACTAGAAAGCACATCAGAACCAACCACAGCAGATTTCAACATATCCTCAACTGCCCCTGTTTTCCGCAGTCCACATTAAAAAACAACACAAGCAAATTGCCGCAACAAAACCTCCAACTTCCAGGGATTGAGAAGTCAGTTTTCTAGAAGTGGAGAAAAGTTTACTCTGATTTTTCAATGACCCAAAATATGACTATATATGGGGTGCAGAAATGTAAGTGGGATGCAGATGGCTTCATAAGGCATTATTGCAAAGAAAATGGATTACAACCCTATGAAGGGCAGCTATTAGAGAAGTAAAAGAAAATTAAACAAATCTAAAAAAGAGCCATTTAGCCCTTTCTGAAAGCTGCGGCCACCCTGCTCGATTCTACTTGATGCACATGGGCAGTTCTCATTAAGGCAAATTGCAAACGTGCAACAGAGGGGGAACTGAACACTTATAAAACAGCCAGTGGAGCCAGTCTGGAATGAAATGTTTGTGATGAAATTGCAGGCGTCTCCCAAATTGCTAAAATGTGCCAGTTGCTTTACGTTTCTGATCAATCTCCATTTTTTGTAAAGTTGGTCAGCAGAGAGCAGAAAATGAGTTTGGATGATGGGCTCAGCTCTGTAAATGACTATGCTCCATGACCCCCCCCAACCACACCCACTTCAGGAGGTAGATGTGCTGCAAAGGATGTGATGTGCTGTAGCAGTTTCCTAGGCATAGTTTCCATAAAACACCAAAGGGGCTAGGAACCCACAATGGAGGGCCCTACAAAGCTGGAGAAATAAAACATGATTGTATACAGGGAACATTTCATTCTACCTCACAATTATCCCTGTATTGGCTCAATGAAGAGAAAAAGAGAATAAGAAAAGTATCGGCTAGAGTCTTCATTAAGGTTTCACATGACATTGGCTGTTGACTTGTCCTGTTATAGGACTGGAATATCAGCCTTGATACCTCCAAGGTGCCGAATTGGCTGATGCTTGCTATTCAATTAGATGGAGTGTCTTATTGAACTATTCTGCTGAGGACCACGGCAAACTTCAAAATGTCTTGGTTAAGAAAAGCATTTGTTTATCTATAATAAATTGGACTTGTCAACTAATGCTGCACAGTAAAAAGAAGGCCAAGTCATTCTGGCCCACTGCTATCAACACCGATTTTCCAAATGCCAGTACAGGTAAGAGAAGGTTAAAGCCAGCACAGGGCACAGCACGTTACCTTTACAGGGAAGATTTCCTGTCCAAATCCATCCAAACGTTCCACTTCATTGATGTACATCAGTTCAGCTTCTGCTGGCAGGATTCCACTAAAATCAAAATAGCATCGAAGGAAGAAATGGTTAAGGGCAATCAGTGGAAGATCCCACTCTCCTGATGGCAAATTCCAGAGCTGTGGTTTAGCTCCAGTTTCTGGGAAGAGCAATCATTACCCAACTGTGAGGGTAGGGTGCATTACTAAGTAATTCATTAACATCTTTCCCAGTAGCCTTTTACTCAACAGGGAATAATAAGAGGAAGGTAAAGTATTTAATTAAGAGCCACAGCCCTATAAACATGAAATAATTATTCCAGACATCCCTTCGAATATGTTGCCTACTTTAAAAAGAAGTTATTTTTCTCTCATCTGGGAGAAATCTTCATTATGGGGGAAAAAAAAAAAAAAGGAAAAAGTTTATAATGAGGATAATATTTTGGGAGTCAAATGGCCATGGCTCATGCCTATAATCCCAGCATTTGGGGAGGCTGAGGCAGGTGGATCACTTGAGGTCAGGCATTCGAGATCAGCCTGGACCACATGGTGAAACCCCGTCTCCACTAAAAATATAAAAATTAGCTGGGTGTGGTGGTGCATGAGCCTGTAATTCCAGCTACTCGAGAGTCTGAGGCATGAGAATTGCTTGAACCCTGGAGGTGGAGGTTGCAGTGGCCCGAGATCACAGCACTGCACTCCAGTCTGGGTGACATAGTGAGAATGTCAAAAAAAAAAAAAAAAAAAAAGCCATGACGAAAAAACATAGGATCACTCCATAGGCCTTGATATCAAACTCTTGGTGCTTCCTTGAATTAAAGTTTCTCTCTTTTTCCTTCCTTCACCTGCCTACCACTCAACACAGCACTTTAGGTCTTCACTCTCTCAGCACAGGCTTCCTAGATTCTCTGAGGAAGGAAGGAAGGAAGGAAGGAAGGAAGGAAGGGAGGGCAGGGAGAGGGAGTTGACCGGAACTCGGAAGGGCCAGGCGAGGAGGAGCGGACGTGAGGGAGGGACGGAGGGAGGGACGGAGGGAGGGAAGGAAGGAACCGAGCAGTTTTCAAGTCGACATTCACCTTTTCAGAACGGAAGTACAGAGCTGAGTCATGTGGTGGAAGAAATACAAGTGTGTTGGCTCAAGCCCAGAGTTGCTGATAGGGAGATGGATGCCTCCTGCCCCACAGGCAGTAAACATGTGTTGCGCAGGCAGCCCCTTACCCTCTGCCTGCCTTACCTGTGGGCTTTGTGTTCTTGGGCTACCTTCTGGGTCAGCTCCTCCAGAACAGCCTCTTCCAGGGCCAAATCCTATAAAAATAGAAAGTGCTTAAGGTCACACGAGGGTGTGGGCATTTGCTATTTTGATTGCAAACCTTAAAAGCTCCCTTCCTCAGATGTTCCTGATTAGTCACATTTCCTCAATATCTCCTTTACTGCTGTAGAATTAAAGGTTGTAATTTTTAGATGTGAGTTATGATTTCTACTGTTGTAACATGGCTCTCCATTATAACAGGTTATTTCCAGGTATATTTTGGGTTGCCCCCTAAGTTCTGTGGTGCCGGGGAATAGCTCTTTTCATTCATTCTTCTCTATCCGCCTGCTTCTCAGATGTACATTTATAAAAAATGCTTTGCATGTGCTTACATATTTCTAATGTTTGGGGTATAGGCCAATGAGTTCCCAAGCCATCATCCCTTCAAAAGTTGAGCCTAGAAAGGGACTGTGCCAGTCCTTTCTGTATACCAGGAAATGAATTCAAAACCGCTGAAGGCAGAGTAGGCTCATTCTGATGTTACTTGATGGTCATGGGGGCAGAGGAAGCCATGATGGCTAAAACATCTCCAGAGAGCTCTGTAAGGCAACAGGTGTGTAGCTCACTAGTCAGCTGAACCCCCGGTCCCTGAAACCCGCGATGTGCTGACTACTGTGGGCTCAGAAGAACCGATTACACACATCTTTTCCCAACTCCCCTTCCGAAACACCACGGTGGGAGGATTGACATCATGGAAATGGGCTTGCTAAACACTGGCCAGGGAAGCACTGCTTAGGATGGTGAGATGGAATCAAGAGGAATAATCCAAAATGAGCAGACCAAAGCAATTCATTCTTGAGAAGTCGATAGGGGTAGAGATTCTAGAGTTTGTCTCATGCCTGTGGTGGTCTGGGGCTCAAGTCCCAGGCCAGCTGCTTCTAGCTTTCCTGGGCAGCAGATCCCACATATTCCAGGCTAGTAAGCACCAAGAGAGGCACAGATGGGCACTGTTTTCCTGTGAGCTTCAGAGGGGATGTCAGAAGGAAGTCTCAGCTACACCCTGATGTGGGTACCATCCTACTAGGAAGGGACGTAGGGACTGATATTTTGGCAGAAATCATAACAAATGCCCCATTCCCTTGATTCTAAAATACAATTTATATAAAGATTTCATCTCCAATTTAACTTTTCATGGATGACAACACTACCCCTAAAAATGTACACCTCAAAACTGTGAAAAACATCCCATCTCAAATCGTTAAAATGTGAAAAATCAATATATTTTAAAACTGGAAAGCAAGGACATAACTGTATGCTAAAAATTCCATAGCTCTGCATGTCCTGCTAATTCTAGAGTTCATGAGAAACTTTAGAGCAGACAGGGAATTATGGCAGCTCTTACTTTTCACATAACTGATTAATTTGTGGTTTCCCATTTAGCCATCCATTGAAATGACTCAAGTTCATGATAAGAAATAAGCTCAACATTTTTAGTTTCATCTTGTGGAGTAACAAGGATACCACAAGACTTACAAAGTTAGCTATGTGTGTGCATCTAGGTATTGAGTAAAAACCCCATTAATTTTGAAAAGCTAATGAAGGGCATGTGGCAACAGAATAAAGTGAAGATCAAAAAGTGTTCCATTAAATCTCTGTTTCCTACTTTTAAAAAAGAAGAAGCCCAGAGGTACCCCTTCTGCTATTGTTCTCAACTTAACCGCCTCCATCTGCACCTGGGGCCTCCCTGAGGTATGTGCCCCACCAGGGAGAGTGTGAGCGTGGCCCTGTGGGAATGAAAAATGGCAGAGCGCATGCCTGTACACAGCCACACACCTGTGGAGCGCTCTGTGTACTTGACTTTGTTCTTTTCTCTGCTGAAGAAATGCCATTTAACAAATTCGGTTACATTGTAAGATCAAACACAGCCATTCACCCATTCTTCCCTCCACCCAAAGGATGCATTCTCTTTGAAAGTTCCAGTGGAACCAGCAGAAAGTTTAACACCCTTCTAAGATACCCCTGGCACCTACTCAGCAAGGTCAACAGGCTGGCCTGGCATGCAGACCATCTTCAATGGATTGCAGTTTCCCCCTTTCCAAGACCTCTTGCCCAAGAGGTCAAGGTCCCAGGCCCAACGGCTCTTTTCTAACACACACTGCTTTTACATTTTCCATGTCGAAAGGATGGGCCATTTAACATGCTCATCCCCGCTGGGAGAACCTCCCCGTCACATCCATGCAGTGTGAATGCCCACAATCACTCCTTTTAGGTCATGGTCCTCAGCTACCCACTTCCCTTAAATAAGGCTCTCCTCTCTCGCCCAGGCTGGATCGTAAGCATTTTTCGCCTTTTGACCTTACCTCTCCCTCGTGCCGTCTCCTTTCATCGTATTCTGCCCACTGGCATTTTACACGGTTTATGTGTATACTGTCTTATCCTTGATCTTGTCCTCCACCCCTCTATGAGAGTATAGCTCCCTCAGGGCAGCAATCTTCTTCATATCACTTAAGGGCCTATCATAGGGCTTCTGTGCAATGACAGCTTATAAGGGCTAAATATATTATGTAAGTGATAATACATGCTTCTTGAACTGAACTCACTATGCAACATGTAAATTTCACGTTGTTCAAACAAAAGTTTAATTACACAGAGCTGATTAACAATCACTGTACCTTTCTGCCTGTGCTCTGCTTACATAACAAAAAAAAAAAAAAAAAAAAAAGCATAGAGTGATGTTACCTGGAAAGCACAACCCTTCAACGGCCTTATATTTGCAAGACATAGAGACAGAATAATAGTGCTAATAACAATATAATATGACAACTAACAAACAGTTTGTTGAGAATTTACCACGTGGCAACTTGTATATGTATTTCATAGTAGGTATTTCACAAGCATTATGTCCCTTTAATGCTCACAACGAAATTAGGTGTTGTTATTCTCATTTTTAGATGAGAAAAACTGAGGCTTGAAAGGTTAAATACTTACCAAAGTCATGTGTCAATAAGGGGCACAGCTAGGATAGGTCACAGCACTGCTCGCAAAGGTGCCATGAAATGCCAGCCACAGGCCACAGTGCACCCCAGGATAAATGGGGCAGGGGTAGGGCTGAAAGTGGACAGCCAATAACTAAAGTCAGAATATTCACAACTCAGATAAGGCCTTGCCACATCATCTTCAGTGTCCAACAGGGCTTTTGGATGACGAACATGTTTCCATATCTGAGCTTTCCCAATACAGTAGCCTTTAGAACATGCCACTACGGTGCACTAAAAAATGTAGCCAAGGCCGTTGCATTGCTCCAGCCTCGTAATCCCAGCACTTTAGGAGGCAAGGAGCACTTGAGGCCAGGAGTTCAAGACCAGCCTAAGCCAACATGGCGAAACCCCATCTCTACTAAAAAATACAAAAATTAGCCAGGCGTGGTGGCACACGCCTGTTGTCACAGGAGGACTTAGGAGGCTGAGGCAGGAGAATTGCTTGAACCCGAGAGGTGGAGGGTTGCAGTGAGCTGAGATTGCGCCACTGCACTCCAGCCTGGGTGACAGAGTGAGACTGTCTCAAAAAAAAAAAAAAAAAAAATGTAGCCAATGCAATCAAGCAACTAAATTTTTAATTTTATTTAACTTGCATTACTTTAAATTTGAATGTAAATATCCACACATGGTTAGCGGCTACCACCCCAAAGAGAGCCATTTTAGATCCAAGAATAACAATGTCAACATTTGTCTGTCCAGTGACGAGATTATGAAGTCTATGCTGTTCACGTATCTGATTTGCCTATTGTTTAGTGGAAACACAGTCTTATTCTGAAAGAGGTATAATGTACAAAATCACTCCTTTACTATTTCATAGCACTTTAACCTGTCAGAGCATTTTACCATCTACAAACTCATAAATATCATGCCGGTAATCACCTTTGAAAATTCTGAGAAGCACCCAAACCTGGTCTCTTCCTAAAGGCAATGTAATAAAGGCCTTTAATGAGAGTAAGGTGAATAAAATGTGCGAAATTATCAACCCACCCTTACTAACTACCCCATTTGACGCAAAAAAGTACACACTCTAAAATTCTAAGTTTGAACCTCACTTTCCTCCCACCAAGCACATTGGGAAACACCCTTGACTTTTGGGATGAGCTTCTGAGACATCAGAAATGTTGACTCAAGCATACTGACATTAAGCCCTATGAAGAATTTCTCTGCTAAGTAATATGTTAATCTCTTTGGAGTTTCATTTAATGAGTAGAATTAACAAGGTATGAAAACAGCAGGCACAGCAGATAATACTACTGTTTACTTGGAGGGAAATAAGAATGGAGGCTGGACACGGTGGCTCACGCCTATAATCCCAGCACTCTGGGAGGCCGAGGTGGGTGGATCATCTGAGGTTAGGAGTTCAAGACCAGCCTGGCCAACATGGTGAAACCCCATCTCTACTAAAAATACAAAATATTAGCTGGGCATGGTGCTGCACACCTGTAATCCCAGCTACTCGGGAGGCTGAGGCAGGAGGCAGAGGTTGCAGTGAGCTGAGATGGTGCCATTGCATTCCAGCCTGGGCAACAAGAGTGAAACTCCATCTCAAAAAAAAAAAAAAAAAAAAGAATGGAGTTATTCATGAAAAGTTAGAGATGTGCAATATTCCCTAACCATTAAGAACAAGATCAGCTTTGGACCAATTTAGACTGACCTCATGCACTAATATGGATAATTCTAGACTTACCTATCCTAGTCTCTCAAAACCTAAAACCTTTGTCACCAGACACTCCAATTTCTCCCATATGCCATCACCGATAAGTTGCCAGATTTTGCCTATTTTACTTCAAAATATCCCTTGCTTTGCTTTCTTGTTTTTCTTTCACTAACACCTAAATTATATCCTTTGCCCAAAACACTAAAACAGATTCCCAGCTGGCCAGCTCAAATCCAGCAGTTCTCAAAGTGTGGGGTCTGCAGACCTCAAAGGTGCCCATGCATTCTAACTCCTCAGAAGTTTCCAGTCTCATCTGCCACAACTCCCCTCCAGTAGCTACAGTCAAACCAGCCAGTGGATGCTTTCTGAACACCCAGGCCACACTGCCTCTGCTCCTTCTCTGTCTAAATCATTCCTTGCTCCCTACCTCTTTGCCTAATAGCTCACATGCCATTGGTCTTCCAGTGTTCCCTAATCCCCCAAGGGCATGTGACCTCTTCCCACATAAAATTTATCACACACTTTATCACACTTGGCTCTTTATTCTGATTTTGCAAACTTCCTATTTAACCAACCACACTGTAGTCTCCTTGAAAACAAGCACCATTTCTTATATAATTTCATCCCCTGGGTGTTAGTCACTCAGGTCAGTGCTTGGGGTAAAAGAGTTGACCAAAAAAATAAGTAGTGAATAATCATGATTTCTGAAACCAGAGCCAGAATGTTGATTGGTTATAGCTGTTCCCTAAAATGGCTTTCAATTTTTTTTTTTTTTTCCTGAGACGGAGTCTTGCTCTGTCGCCCAGGCTGGAGTGCAGTGGCATGATCTCGGCTCACTGCAAGCTCCGCCGCCTCCTAGGTTCACGCCATTCTCCTGCCTCGGCCTCCCCATTAGCTGGGACTACAGGCGCCTGCCACCACGCCCGGCTAATATTTTTTGTATTTTTAGTAGAGACGGGGTTTCACTGTGTTAGCCAGGATGGTCTTGATCTCCTGACCTCGTGATCCACCTGCCTCGGCCTCCCAAAGTACTGAGACTACAGGCGTGAGCCACCGCGCCCGGCTCAAAATTTTTTAATCCCTCCTCATTAACACTCTTCTCTTTTACTCTGAAGCTACCAACCAACCAACCAACCAACAAAAATTTCCCAGGGGTTAAAATCTAGTCTACCTTTACTTCAACCCAGGAATGGGCATTTTAGTTTATTGATTCATTTTACTTTATTTTATTTTTTACTTTTTGCGTCGGAGTCTTGCTCTGTCGCCCGGGCTGGAATGCAGTGGTGTGATCTTGGCTCACTGCAACTTCCGCCTCCCGGGTTCAAGCGATTCTCCTGCCTCAGCCTCCTGAGTAGCTGGGACTACAGGTGCATGCCTCCACACACAGCTAATTTCTTTTTTTTGTATTTTTAGTAGAGACAGGGTTTCACCGTGTTAGCCAGGATGGTCTTGATCTCCTGACCTCACGATCCACCCGCCTCGGCCTCCCAAAGTGCTGGGGTTATAGGCATGACCCACCGCACCCAGTCTCATTCTAAAATTTTTATGCGCACAGGCTGTGTGCCAGATGACAGTGAACAAGACAGGATTCCTGTTTAAAGACCATAGAACTGACCATCTAGCTGACAGTAATAAATACATACCTATGTACATACATAAGAATGAATAATGTCAGATACAGAAGTACACATACGAAAACTGATTTAACAGGAAGGATGGTGAGGGTGTATGAGACAGGGGGTCAAGGAAAGAAAGAGCTCTCTGGGAGGTAATATTTGAATTGAGACGTGAATGTCATAAAGATCTGCAGCGGGGCATTCCAGGCAGAGGAAACCCACATACAAAGGCTCTGGGGTGAGCAGAAGCTCAGTACGTTCAGACAAAAAAAAGAGCCAGCGTGCCAGAGGGTAGAGAGTAAATGAGGGAGAGAGAGAAGCAAAGCAGGGAAGTGTCTTTTTTGTTAAAACAAAACAAAACTTTAATTCTATTGACAAATAATAATTGCATCTATTTACAGTACAATGTGATGTTGTGACCCACGTATATATTGTGGAATGGGCAAGTTAGTCTAATTAACATATCCATCATCTCTTATAATTATCATTTCTTTGTGGTGAGAACATTTAAAATCTACTCTTTTAGCAATTTTGAAATACACATTATTATCAACGATAGTCACCTTGCTGTGCAATACATCACCAGAACTTATTCCTAACTTTGTACCCTTTGATCAACATTTCCTCCTTCCACCCAACACTCAGCTTTGGGAACCACCATTCCACTCTCTACATCTATGAGTTCAACCTTTTTTGATTCCACATACAAGTGAGATTGGGCAGTATTTGTCTTTCTGTGCCTGGGTTTTTCACTTAGCATAATGTACTCTACACTCATCCATCTTATGGCAAATGACAAAATTCTGTTCTAAGGCCAAATAGTATTCCATTGTGTGTATACACCACATTTTTACCCATTGATCTGCTGGTGAGAGCTTAGGTTGTTTCCATATCTTGGCTATTACAAATCATGTGGCAATGATCATGGGAGTGTAGACATCTCTTTGACATACCATTTCATTTTCTTTAGATACATACCCAGAAGTGAGACTGTTGGATTATATGGTAGTTCTATTTTTAATTTTTCAAGGAACCTCTAAACTGTTTTGCAAAATGGCTGGAAGTTATACCTCCTTTACTCCTCATGTTCAGTAACACTTGTTATCTTTTACCCTTCATGCTCAATACTCCTGATGCTCAGTAAGACTTTACTCCTCATGCTCAATAACTTTACTCCTCATGCTCAATAACTTTACTCCTCATGCTCAATACCACGTGTTATTGTCCATCTTTTTGATAACATTCAATCTAACAGATGTGAGGTGGTATTTCATTGTGGTTTTAATTAGCATTTCCCTGATGATTAGTGATACTGGGCATTTTTAATATGTCTGTCGGCCTTCTGTGTATTTCCTTTGAGAAATGTCTATTCAGGTCCCTTGACCATTTTTTAATAGGGCTATTTGTTTCCTTGTTGAGTAGTTTGAGTTCCTTATATAGTTTGAGCCCCTTATCTGATGTATAATTTTGCAAATATTTTCTTTCAATGTGGGGGTTCTCTCTTTATCTCTGTTGTTTCCTTTGTTGTACAGAAGCTTTTCAGTTTGATGCAATCTCATTTATCTGTTTTTACTTTTGTTGCCTATGTTTTGGGGGTCATACGCAAGAAATCGCTGCCCAGACCAATGTCATGTAGCTTTTCCCCCATGTTTTCTTCTAGTGTTTTATAATTGCAGGTCTTACATTTAAGTCTTTTTCTTTTTCTTTTTCTTTTTTTTGTTAGATAAAGTCTTGCTTTGTCACCAGGCTAGAGTGCAGTGGCACAATCTCAGCTCACTGCAACCTCCGCCTCCTGGGCTCCAGTGATTCTTCTGCCTCAGCCTCCTGAGTAGCTGCGACTAGAGGCGTGTGCCACCATGCCCAACTAATTTTTGTATTTTTAGTAGAGACGGGGTTCCACCATGTTGGCCAGGATGGCGTCCATCTCTCGACCTTGTGATCTGGCCGCCTAGGCCTCCCAAAGTGCTGGAATTATGGGCGTGAGCCACTGTGCCTGGCCACATTTAAGTGTTTAATACATTTTGAATTGATTTTTGTACAAAGGGTGAGATAAGGATCCAAATTCAATCCTCTGCATGCAGATGGCCAGTTTTCCCAGCACCACTTGCTGAAGATACCGCCCTTTCACCAGTGTGTTCTCAACCCCTCTGTTGAAAAATCTATTGGTTATAGATGTGTGTGATTTACTTCTGGGCATTCTATCCTGTTCCATTGGTCATTGTGTCTATTTTTTTGCTAGTCTCATATTGTTTTAATTACTATAGCTTTGAAATACAGTTTGAAATAAGGTAGTGTGGTATCTCCGGCTTACTTCTTTTGCTCAAAATTACTTGGGCTAATTGGGGTCTCTGGTGATTCCATATGAATTTTAGGATTGTTTTCTATTTCCATGAAGAATGATGTTGGAATTTTGATAGGGATTGCATTAATTTGTAGATTACTTTTGGCAGATATTTTAACAATATTGATTCTTCCAATCCATGAAGATGGGGTATCTTTCCATTTGTGTCACCTTAAATTTCTTTCATCAATGTTTTATAGTTTCCAGCATACAGAATTTTCACCATCTCAGTTAAATTTACTCCTAGGCTTTTGGTTTTTGTTTTTTTAATATCATTGTAAATGGAATTGTTTTCTGTCAACTCTCACTACTTGTATTAAACATAGTACTGGAAGTCCTAGCCAGAGCAATTAGGCAAGAGAAATAAAAAACAGCCAAATAGGAAAGGAAGAAGTAAAATTATGCTTGATGATGACATGATCTTATATGTAGAAAACCCTAAATATTCCACAAAAAAACTGATAAAACTGAGAAACAAATTTAGTACAGTTTCAGGTTACAAAATCAGCATAGAAAAATCAGTAGCATTTTTATATACTAATAAGAAACTATCTGAAAAAGAAATTAGGGAAGTGTCTTGAGGCAGAAGGAGGCACTTTTACCTTCTCAGTGTGTTTTATAAAACTTGCCCCTACTTTATAAACACATTGACTTTTTCCCCAGGGAATATGCGTATGTAAAATCCTGAAATTTTCAAAGGAAAGAACTAAATGTCCAAAGAAGGTAGAAAATTACGAAAAATGAAATTATACTTACCATAGGAAATAGCACATACTCTCTGAGGAAATCTTGAGAATCAAACTGATTATAGTCTCCAAAATCAGCTGAGAAGAAAAGAAGGCGGAAGGGCAGTATTTATTATAAGAAATTAAAGATGGAATAAAATAGGGCAAACTCATCACCACATTATTCTTCACATTTCATCCTATTTCTCACTATTATTAAATTAAAATAGTGCCAAGGTAAGTTTGACGTAGTTACTTTTATCTAACAGTATGGTAAATATCAGCATGTAAGCATCACTACATGATTTTTTAGAAATAATGAAGAAATTTGAAAACAATTCCTAAAGGCCACTTAAAAAAATTTAAACAAACCTATATTTATCTGTTTGTTAAATATGCATCAATTTGTATCTAAGAATATCTGCCAAGGGGACTTTTTTAACTCAAGGTTAATCTGGAGTACTAAAGAACCCATCTGTATCTTTTCATATATATGCAGCTGGAAATTCCCACTGTAAAACACCCTTGGCAAGCAACCTCAAATATCCTTCTACCTCCTAAATAACTTCATATGTTACAAGATGCCAAAAATTGTTTTCCCTGTTTTCATATCACCATGGTACAGTTTGAGCACATGCAAAATGAAATATATAAATGTCTTCTTATCTTGCTTGCTCTTCTAAGAACTAAACCTGCATGAAATTTTAATTTCATGTAAAATATTTAGCATCAGATAGAAATGGATCCAGGTATCTTTAAGGCAACAAGAGATATAGGATGAGAGGATACACACACCATGCACCAATGCTGAGAAGTTGCTGAGAAGGTAAAAAATAAACATCAACCTACAAACTCAGCACGTAACAAATTACCAATTAGGTGCAGCATTCAAGAATAGCAAACATCACTCACTCTGCCTATTTCCAAGTTCAATCATTGGTTATCACATTCCACCACAACTTCTATTTCTGTTGATGTATCTTTCTAAAAACCCAATAAGCGTTCTCAAAAAACAGTTATTTGCAAAGGATTAGAGGACCTTTCATCAGACTGAACAGCTAGCTTCAAGGACCCAACGAAAAGGGAATCCAGAGGAAGTTCGCCAAATTCCTCAAGGATCCTCCAGTATCGAGGATGCCCTTAATAAGCCTAATGACTAAGTAGTGAGAGGAAAGAGTACATGCAGTAAAACAAACAAAGCTATTTATTTATTTATTTATTTATTTATGTTTTAGAGACAGGGTCTTACTTTGTCATCCACGCTGGGGTGCAGTGAACTGATCATAGCCCTCTGCAGCCTCAAGCTCCTGGACTCAGGCCATCCTCCCACCTCAGCCTCCTGAGTAGCTGGGACTACAGGTGCACACCACCATGCTGGGCTAATTTTTTATTTTTACATTTTTTGTAGAGACATAGTCTCATTTTGCTGCCTAGGGTGGTCTCAAACTCCTGGTTTCAAGTAATCCTCTCGCCTTGGCCTCCTAAAGTGCTGAGATTACAGGCATGAGCCACCACACCTGGCCCAACGAAGTATTTTAAAAGGAGAAAGACCCAATTTGACAATGAGGGACATATTGATCTTCCCCATTACTTCAACAATGCTACCTCTGATTTCTCTATCATAACTGGCCATTGTTTCTTCCCCTCCAGTCTTTAAGCAGACCGAGGTGATACATCAGATTTTGCCTGTTTCCATCCACAGAATTACAACAGAAGCTAAAGGTATAGAAATTGTACTTCTAACAGAAATCGTTAAGTTGTTAATACTTCAGAATGAAAGAGGTCAGGAGAAGGGTTGACTCTTCAGACATTTAGATCTGAGATGATTCAATTCAGTCCAGTGTCTGGGATGGGAAGTCAGTTCACGCTTTCTGAAACAACAGTCCATGCAGCAAGGACCCAGCTGCTGGCTGGCTCACACTTGCAGAGAACCTGGTTTTCAAGAAAATGACTAAAAGGAAAAGTTTCTTTTCAAAAACTATATTACCATCTTCTTGCTTTAAAAAAAAAAAATTAATTTTTACTTTTTGAGACAGAGTCTAGCTTTGTCACCTAGGCTGGAGTGTGGCGGTGTGATCTCAGCTCACTGTAACCTCCACCTCCCAGGTTCAAGCGATTCTCATGCTCCAGCCTCCTGAGTAGCTGGGATTACAGGCGTGTGTCACCATGCTTGGCTAATTTTTGTATTTTTATTAGAGACAAGGTTTTACCATGTTGGCCAGGCTGGTCTCGAACTCCTGACCTCCAGTGATTCGCCCACCTCAACCTCCCAAAGTGCTGGGATTACAGGCGTGAGCCACCACACCAGCCTATCTTGCTTTCAATATGACCGAAGGTGGTTAAGCCACCACTCAATAAACCATAATGTATAAAATATACATATAAAGTTCCACACATAACAATTTAGAGAAGGCAAAAGAGAGCTATGTAATAATATAAACCTATATAGGATGGGTTGAAAGATAAACTCAGTCCAATACACATTTGTTGTTTCACGTTACAATCATGGATTTTAAATTTATCTTTTTAATGGCATTAGAATACATTATACCATAATGTTTAAAGCTATCACACTCCAAGAAGTTGTGATAGTAACACCTTTGCAGCATCAAGCCACAGAATATGACCACATTGTGCCTTGGAATAATTCTGAGAAAATGCTCCACAAACCCTGAAATGTAGCCTTAATTAAAGGCAGAATAAAAGCTGCTATTTCCTCAAATAAAACTGTAATTATACAAGCATGAGCAGTTTGCAAACAGCTTTGAGAAATCTACCACCCGGCCACCAAAAATCACTAACTTCGCATTTTTCACGTAAGATAACTTGAAATAAAAAGGGAGCATTACTAAGGGATCATTTAAGTAAATCTAACTTCTCACTCTGAGAGGACGGTAACACCATGATCAAACAGAAAATGGAATTTCACATGCTGCTCATAACTATGTCTTACCTTGCACAGCTAGGCCGGCTAGCCGAATCACCTGGTCCAATGTACATCGTAATCGCCCTTCAAGCACATCTTTTTTGACTTGCAGATAATACTGATATCTGTTCATGGGAATAGAGGAACAAACAACCTTAAAAACACATACTTGGAATAGATTCCCACAACACAGATGCCTCTAGATGTAAAACCTTGTGTACACAGCAGGATATGCCCGTGATGCTGATAAAGGCCATTTCTATAAAAGATGGAAAGTGACCTCTGCCTGTGTTTATCTTTGTTTGATGTAGCAGGTGCCACATCCTGTTCATTCTGAGCTTGAGAGGATTCTCATCACATCACTTATTTGCAGGCCAGCAGGATAAACTACTGATAAGGACCAGGTCTTCATAACAGAGTCCAAGAATGAAAATGCTTTTGCACACCTGGAGATCCACGACAACACAACTGCCAAAGTTACATTCAACAGTGTGCGTTCCTGAGTGCATTCTAGAAACACATCGCCTTTCAAACTCAAAAGTTTGGTAAGGCAGATCACAAAGAGGCCACGTAATTTGTAATTCCACTAAAAAATGATACACAGTTTTGACCTTACACATCTGTGAATCAGAAAAATCTAATCTGATGCAACTTTCCAAACTGAAGTAAATTCTCAAACCAGCACAGTACAGATGGACAGAATCATGCCCAAACACATCAAGTCTCAGACTAGACAAATGCCCTCAGGAGCTAACACAGTGTACTGTTCCCCTACCAATAAAACAGCACTCTTAGAATTACCTAAAACATTTAGAAAACTTCTCACTCAAGACGTTTATTTCCCAGGACTCCACTTCCTTTGACCATACTCTCAACACATAGTCACAACTACAACAATCACACTTTTCTAGCATTAATTCCTGGTAAATGCTAACAATGCTTTTGCTCCTGGTAACTATAACTCTGTATTTTAACTTCACTTTGGCATCTCAATCGAGAGAACCCAGAAGTGAACCAAAGCCCAACTTTCCTGGAGAGAGGCAATCGGCACTGACAGCTAATTACTGCTGGCTCTCCCATGATGATGTCATAGGCATCATTAGACATAAGTCAATCCAATGCCTGTTTGAGGGAAGGAACTGGGCTCTGTGCACACTCCAGTCGAGTCCCACACTTCTTCTCTCCTCTTGGGTGTACTGAACAGAATAAAGACAACCACGCCACTCTTTGGTGGGAAAAACCTATACTCAAATCAGAAGGGCAAACACTGGGACTTTCTTAAAAATCCTTTTTAGTCAAACCTAATATGGGCTAGAAAAAATCACAAAGCAAAACAAAAAGCAAAATCTCAAGGTAGGAAAGAATGGTAAATTTCACCGATTCCTACTAATTATAAAACGTTTGAATCTCATCCTCATGCCATTCATTCCTTCTCATCTTTCTGGTGTGGTTTTGACTTATTTGCTGCTCTCTAAGCCAGGAAGCCAAACAGATATTTTAACCCATAGCTATCATGCACTTTCTATGGGCGTAAGTCTGCTAGATGCTGAGGAGTATCTTGGAGAGTGCTAAAACAGTCTCTGCCTTACAAGGATGCATATATCTTTTTGACCACTGTGACCATGTTTTTTTCTAGTGTACTATCTAAGGGTTCAGTGATTAAGAACCAAGGCATAAAACGTCTGAAAAGGTGTTATCTTGGCATTATCTGCTAGAGGTAGAGCTTTGTTACCTGTCACTTTAGAGGTGAAAATGATCAGCTAAGATAATTTATTAGAGAATATCTTTGGAAGTAGACCAGTAACCAATTGATCTGCCACCAAAACAATATCTCTAGTTTTTAAAAATCTGCTGCTTCCAACTTTCATCTACAGCTATCACTTCTATAATTTGTCAGCAAGCTCTGTTACAGATCCATTCTATCCTAGGAAACAGTGACTCACAATCCACTAGCAAGGAACACCAGGAACGTTTCTAATCATGTAGGCTGGATGTAGGATTTTGCTGGAATATAAAAACAAGGAGCTGAAGAAAGCAGGGCTCTCTCCTGGAAGCCATCCAAACTAGGAGAGAATCTAAACAGCAGCAATGATACGGTGCCATTACCACGAGATTGTGGGTATTACTATGTAAGACTGCAGAAATGAGAATGAAATTCAAACCACTTTGGAAATTGTTTGGCTGGTACAATTTTGCACAAAAGGCAGTTTTATAAAATATGATAATTCTATCGAACATGGTGACTAAATTTGACAACAGGAGTTGAAATTCTATTTCTAGAATGCCTGTTCTTTGCTTATTTCTCATTAGCGATTCAATTATAACAGTAGTAAAATATAACAGTGAATTCTATTTTGGAAACATGCAATTTCATGGAAGTATACTCCACCCTGTCACAGTTCTGGGTGGAGAGGAAAAGGAAAAAAAAAAACCAAAAAAAAAAACAATTTTCATGCCAGGAAAGTAAGTATTTGCCAACTTTCCAAAGAGATCCTCTTTGAAAATCCAAGCTCACAAGGAAAACTTTTTAATATTTTTCATATTCAGAGACCGAGAAATAGTCCATCTGACTCTTGAGGCCCAATGAATGGTTTTAGGTTAGGATTCTGCTCTTCCTCTAAGAATTAGTGAACATAATTATGCTTCTCGAATAAAGGTAAACTTTTATATTTTTAAATTTTTAAATTTTGTTTTTAAAGATTAACGTTTTATTAAATACAGATTTCTCGGGGTAAAATTAAAAAGGTGTCCTAATAATAAGTGTTATTACGCATGACTACTGGGAACGAACATGCTATCACCTAGTCTCTGGGGGCCTCATCTATCTGGAATCTCCCCATCCGATGGTAAGAAAATAAGTGACTTTTCCAAGTTACTTCCTCCCCTAGGAGTTTGAAAAATTAAGTTTGAAAAAATGCCCTATTGGGTCAAATCAACAGAGTCTTCAGTACTTTTGACGGCAGTATCAAAGGACTCCTTCCAAATTATACCCCATAACAATATCTTCAAAATTTAGAGATGAATTGCTAAAATCATTTTTTTTTTTTTTTTTTTGGACGGAGTCTCGCTCTGTCGCCCAGGCTGGAGTGCAGTGGCCCGATCCCAGTTCACTGCAAGCTCCACCTCCTGGATTCATGCCATTCTCCCGCCTCAGCCTCCGGAGCAGCTGGGACTACAGGCGCCCACCACACGCCCGGCTAGTTTTTTGTATTTTTAGTAGAGACGGGGTTTCACCGTGTTAGCCAGGATGGTCTTGATCTCCTGACCTCGTGATCCGCCCGCCTCGGCCTCCCAAAGTGCTGGGATTACAGGCGTGAGTCACCCAGCCCGGGCAAATTGCTAAAATCTTTATGCTCTCTTTTAAATTCATGTATGAGGAATTTATCTCAGCACGTCTGCAACTGTGTTTTACTTGCAGTTCTGTTCATTCTTCTTAGAGTGAGCAGGTCTGTGTGGTGTTCTGAAAGGCATGGGCTGTGTTACCACAGAACTACAAATAAGGCACCAGGAACTCCGAGACCGGGTAGGTGTTGCTTTTAAAATATTTCCCCCACCCCTCCCCACAAGTGAAATCTTCATTCCAGGTCCAGTTCAACAGATGTGCCCCAAACAGGAGACAGCCACGTAAAATGGTTAAAGCCTTGGGATCTGATTTTGGTCATACTACCACCCCAGAATGCAACACGCTCAGCGTAAGTCACAGAATGGTGAAGATAGAGCAGGGCCCTTGCCACGGTTCCAGATGTCTGCTGCCTTCCCAACAGGGTCATGCCCACCTACCTCGTTACTCCTGGGACTAGCTTTGGGGCCAATGAAATGAGAATAGAAGTGGGAAGTAATTGTTGCTCCTAAGCAAAAGTGTCCAGAGCCAGTGACGGGTTCTCTGCCTCTGCTTCCCTTTGCTCTGAGACCTGCAGTGAGCAGGGAGGGCAGGTTGCTCAGTGAGCCTGAGCCCTGGGCAAAGACGGCTGGGAGCAGAGCCTCAGACAACCCACAGTGGACCTGCCAGGTGCGCAGCAAATAAACCTTTGTTTGTGAAACCCAAAGAGGCTGGGGGGTCATACATCACTGCAGCATGATGGAGCCTAAGCGATTTAACAAGGGAAGGACTTTTAAAATCCCAGTCCAATCCTTTCATTTTTTAGAGAAGGCAGCTGTGTTAAGGGAGGAGAATGACTTGTCCAAGGTAATACTGCTTCCTTAAAGACAAGGCCAGAACCAGATCTGAGCATGAACAACCACAGTGGCGAAGGCAGGATCTGATCCCTGCCCATTCTAGGCAAGCCACCAATTTCACTGAAGTCTAAAAATAAAAGCGAAGGCTGGGCGCGGTGGCTCAAGCCTATAATCCCAGCACTTTGGGAGGCCGAGGTAGGTGGATCACAAGGTCAGGAGTTCCAGACCAGCCTGGCCAAGATGGTGAAACCCCGTCTCTACTAAAAATACAAAAATTAGCTGGGCGCAGTAGCATGCGCCTGTATTCCCAGCTACTCAGGAGGCTGAGGCAGGAGAATCGCTTGAACCTGGGAGGCAGAGGATGCAGTGAGCCGAGATCGGGCCACTGCACTCTAGCCTGGGTGACAAAGCGAGACTCCATCTAAAAATAAATAAATAAATAAAAATAAAAGTGAAAATAAAACACCACTACCCGGTGATTTTTATGACGCTTCTAAGGAAGGGCTTCCATCACCAAGCTTTTCCCCAACCCCACTTAGACAGTCTGTGCTACAGCAGAGGCAAATGTTGACATGAGAAACTTTTCCATAAAATCCTATTACAGGACATGTTTCATACTGTAGCCAATGGTTATTCAGGTCTGTTTTTTCTCCTGGCAGCAGCCTCTGGGATGTTTCACTTTTCTCCCCCAGAGATAGAAGGAAGGGAAAGACGGAGTTATACATTTTAACTACTTGTTAACTTTCGAAGACGGATAGAGGGATAGAAGTAAAATCTACAGACCAGAGTTTCTCATTGTAGGCTCCTACGTGGAAGGAGCAGCTGTGTCCAACAGCAGGTACAAACTGGGCCCTCTGTGTATATATTTCTAAATGCAGATTTTTAAAAAGTAAAATGCAAGTCATCATCAGTGTCACACACAAGTCTTTACTCGTTTACACTGAGTAGC